AGCCGAGCCCCAGCGGCGCCGGCGCGCCAGCGCGAGGCCGGGCCGCCAAGCAGCAGCAACAGGGAGCGCGAGGCTCCGGCGGCGCCGGCGGCAAGCAGGCGACGCGCAGTAAGAAGCGGGAGCGCGACGAGCGCGACGAGATGGAGAACGGCGGTGGTGGCGGTGGCGGAGGAGGCGTGAACGGCGAGAGGGGCGGCATTAAGCTGGAGGAGCAGACGGAGGAGCGCGAGCGAAAACGGGAGCGAGAGGACAACGACAGCAACCTCATGCGCGAGACCGCCACCAGCTCCGCCCCCGACTCGCTGCAGACCGCCATCACCTCCTCGTCATCGCAGGCCTCGCAGGACGACGACGGCTCCACCTCGGCCGGCGCCGGCGCCGGCATCAAGTCCGAGCAGTCCGGCAAGCTCGAGCGGATGGACGAGCAGCAGCCGCTGCAGATCAACGGCAACGGCTCCATGAACAACGCCGGCGGCCTGCTGGGCGCGATGATGGGCCTCGAGAACGGCGGCATGGGCCTGGGCATGGGTCCGATGGGCGACGCGGGCTTCGGCGGCGGGCCTCTGATGCCGCCGTTCAGCAACGGCAGCTTCGACGCGGCGTCGCTCAGCCTCTCGCTCGAGGACCCCTTCCTGGAGCCCGAGCTCGAGAGCGGTTGGTGGGAAAACCTTTGAGAGACGAAGGAGCTCCCCCACTCCCACCCGCCCACGACGACTTCGATCGGCGACGGCGACGGCGATGACAACGACAATGGACGAGCGACGACGGAGGAGGATACTTTATAATTTTTTGTTTTGTTTTGTTTTATATTGTACAAGGCGGACGACGACGACGACAACGACGACGACGACAACGACGACGACGGCGGTGATGGTGATGAAGAAGGTGAAGAGGAGGATCGCGATTGGAGAGACCAATCTCACACTGCGAGATCGACAGCAGCTGGCGAGGGAAAACAACAACACCGGCAAGGAAGCAGCTCGAGGAGGAGAGAGAGAGAAAGAAACAGCAAGAGGATGGACATGGCGCGTGGCACACCCGATGTTACTTTTAAACACACCTTATTTATTGTTGCACAACACGACGACCCACAACCAAACCATCAGCCAATCATCATCACAGACCAATTAAAATGATAACTTGTTTATTCAGTTTTCGTTTCCCGGAAGAAGTTGTTCGGCCAAGGTAAATACTGCCCCGACAGTGGGCAGAGCACTCGTCGGTTTCTTTGTACTTCTTTACAACATGAAGCTGCCGGCTTACGCTGTGCTGTTGATCTTGTGCCTCTCCTTGTTCACGTCGTCAGTCGTTGCGTTTGATGTGATCGCTTCGCTCTTCCGCGACCGCAGCTGCACCGCAGTCCTCGCCCCGCCCATGGGCCTCGACCAAGGCGTGTGCGCCTACAGTGAGGACTTCAACTTCTACTACAACATCTCCACCACCTCCTCCGGCCAGGCCAGGTACTACCTTCATACACTACATCGCTTCATCATCTTCATTAATTAATCTCTCTTAACTATCTATCACTCCAAACCCCAAATATTAGGTTCAACTTTGGATGCAAGCCGGGCTGCGTTGGTTGTGCGGAGGTGGGCACGACGCACTACGGGTCGTGCATGCGCTTCCAGCTCGGCAGTACCGAGGTCTTCGCCACGGCCTGGCGTGTGGACACCTCGGCCCTGCTGTCGGCCACCATCTACGCCGACCCGCAGTGCGCTCGTCAGCTGCCCTACGGGACCATCACCGTCCAGAGCGGGTCGTGCACCTACTCCCAGCTGCTGTTCAACTCGGTCGTCGCGGCGCAGTTGGACGCGCGCGACTCGCCCAAGAGCGAACGAATCGCATTCGGCCTCAACTGCAACCAGCAGTGCGGCTTCTGCAGCGTCTACAACAGGACCGCCGCTGATCTGTGCACTCCCGTCTGTACGTACTGCTCCACCACGGCCCAGCCCAGTCTGGCCACCTCACTCACTATCTTTTTCTTCTTCTTTGGTTTTGTGCAGTCAACGTCTACATGAAGATCAAGACCGCACACTTCTAAGCCAAATGAATGCTCTCTTCACCCTGCTCTCTGCTAGAAGGGCTTCTGTCATTACTGCTTCAAAAGTTTTTAAAGTTTTTAGGTGGTGCTTTGTGTGCCAGTGGGCACTGGCGAGTGTCTTCTGTTTAAAGTCACCTCAAGGGGTTGCTGATTGCAGCACCTGAGAATATTTGCCAACCCACAACGAACTCCTGCACGCACAGGAGGGCCATGATGCCCGCCACTGCGAGAACCGTGTGAGCACGAAGAGCGAAGAGCGAAGAACAAAGAGAACGAAGAGAGGAGGGAGGGAAGTTACCGGCGGAAGGGCAGCGGAAAGAACGAAAGGGGTGAGGTGGTGCGAAAAGGCGATGCCGAACACTAGCGCGCCCACGCGGTGTGGCGTGTGGCGTGTGGCGTGTGGCGTGTGCGTTCTGTGCACCTTCCGGTTGAGTGGTAGATGAGCTCGGTGATGGCCATGCCCTCGGGGATGACGTGGATGATGATCGCCACCGCAAGGCTCAACCCCACATCCAGCCCTCTGCCCAACCCATATTTGTGTTCACCGCGCATATTGTATGTTGTGCCGTGTGTGTGCATGTCAGCAGAGAACGTGTCGTGTGTGCCGTGTCGTGGCGTGTCGTGTCGTGCGTTTGGTGAGTGGAATGGACTGCGCACCGCAGGCACGAGATGTAGACGGCGATGCCCTCCGGCAAGTTGTGGATGCACATGCCAATCGCCGCCGCTAGCCCCGCCTTCGTCGGCTGCAGCACATCGCGACTCCAACACAACAACAACAACAACAACAACAACAACAACAACAACAACAACAACAACAACAACAACAACAACAACAACAACAACAACAACAACAACAACAACAACAACAGGCGAGCGAGCGAGTATACCTTCGAGAGCGAGCACCACCTTTCCGTTGGTGGCCGCGAGGAGCTTATGCGTCATCTGATGATCAGATCACACAAACGCACAACGGCATGACACGCACACGGTGAGCCATCGATCGTCATCCATCGGCCACTGGTGCTACGCGCGGGTTCCGTGGTGTGACGTACGCCGTGGCGCGCCTCGGCGTTTTCGCACCCGGAGCGTTCCTCTCGGGACCCATGGCCGTGGCTGTGGCCGTGGTCCTCATTGTCGTCGCCGCCGGCAAAGTGCGGTTCGGGCATGTAGTACATTACCAGCGAGGAGCCGACCACGCCCAACACAAACTGTGCCTCGCCACATGTCAGCACTGACCGCACGCACACACGCAGCACGACACACCGCACACGACACGACACGTACGAAGAGCCAGGTGTAGGGATGGCCGATGGCGAGGGCTGAATAGGGGATGAGGTCGGCGAACGCGATGTAGAGCATCACGCCCGACGAGCCGCCCAGCATGACCCCCAGCTTCCGCGGTTTGGGCTTGCCGGCCAGCAGCGCCAGCGAGCCGCCTGGAAGCGCGCGTGCGTGCCGTGCTTCGTGTGAGTGCCCTGCCATGTGGTGCTGCGTCTGGTGAGGTGGGGTACCGAGAACGGTGGCGAGGCCGCCCACGAAGGTGAGGGCGAGGGTGACCACTTGCGTGCGCCACGTGAAATCCATCTATCACTCTCTTGTAGATTTTGAGACGTAAACGGGACTGGGGCTGCGCCCTTCTTCTGCGTCCGTTCGCGTTGCGGGGCTCAGCTTATTGCCCAAAACAGACGAATGCTCAAAAGTGGCGCCAGAAAGGTGCCTGGTGTTATTCCAATCTATGGTTGCTCTGCCATCTCCACAACTGGTGATGTACAACTTGGCGCACTACCAATAGCACAATAAGAAAAAGTGCCATCACAGGAAAGTTCAGCTGCTGAACATTTTTGTTGTGTGAGATCTTGACATTTTTGATTGCAATACGCTAAAAGCTAGGAGTGGGACAAGTTAAAAATTGGCATTAAAGTTCAGAATAAAAAAAAGGCGCCAAAAACGCGGAAAGGGAGGGGGGGGGTCAGCAGCAACATCCTGGAAAAGGTTAAAAAAAGGATTGAGCCTTCCTTGTTGAAAAAATAAGATGGAGGTGCCAGTGGAGATCCAGCAATGGTGGGGGGAGGAGTGGAGGTTCTTGTGTTGCATCATCCATGACCAGGTGATGAATGCCCAGGACCAAGCCAAGAGTGAGATGGTCCAGTGGCATGATAAGAGGAAGGAAGGAGGCTACATGCCAGGCGATCACATTCTAGTCAGGCAGGCCTCAAAAGGCCATGCAAGGGGTAAATAAAGGACTTCTTCTGACATCACTAGGGCAGGACCTCCCTGAGGCCCATCTACCTGAGACCCAACTGGTCCAGTTCCCCTACTCTCCTACATTTGGCAACAACAGCAGGATTCCTTTCCAATTTTTAACTTGCACCATTCCAAGATTTACCAATTCTGCTTTTTGATTTATAGGGCAGTGTTGAAGATTTGGATCTGCATGTGTGATTTTGACATGCTAGACCACTGCTTATAAGTTCAGATTTTCTGGATTGTGCACAATAAACTTAGTATCAGCAGGCTGAACATGTAGTCATTGTGTACATGCACTCAATATTGTGAGTGTCCTGTTTTACAGTTTTTGTACATGTATGCAAGTCACATACATGTACATGATAGAAATTGGCCATTCCAGACCTTGACTGCTGGCCCAGTTACAGCATCACATCTCTCATATATAATTCACTCAATCAGCACAGTTGATGTGGTCCACAGTGTCCTCTCAGCCACTGGGGTCTGCATCAGCAAGGAGGACTTCCAGATTGAGAGGTTGGAGAACTCACACTCAGCATGGAAGCTGGCTACCCACAACAGGATCCTGGTGGATGGCTTGCTAGTGACAGGTGGAGGCTCAGGATCTATTAGGAGTATTACTTCAGGCCCTGGGTCAACTACAATGAACTGTGGTTCATGGTGAATGCCAAGGGGGTCCTCATCCAGAACTTGCAGTCATTTGACCCATGGTTGAAATTTTGAATGTACTGACCAGCCAAACCAAAGTGTAGGCGAAGTTGGAGCACCCACTTGATGGATTGCCTCCAAACTACTCTTAACCCTAAACCCTAGACCTTAGTCTATATCCACCCCTAACCATTTGGTTGGTGCTAGATGACTCTCCCAAGTCCACAGTTGTACACTACATTAGGCTGCTCATGCGCTCCTGTAGCCAGCCCATCCATCCACCACTTCATTGCCCAGGCTCAGGGTGTTGAAGTCAGGTGGTTCTGCTGGGACAGCCAAAGTTAAATATTTACCAACCCACAATCACTAAATTGCAAGGACAAGTCAAGAGAGGCCAGCACCAAGAGCACCTTCCTGGCCTTTGGCTACGATCAAGTGTAGTGCTACACTTATCTCTGGTAGTGAAGCGTTCCTGCTTCACATCCAGATTCAACTTATTTCTTGTGGGGGACCAGTTGGCACTCACGCCCACAGCTTGCTCTGGGCAGCCGCTGGTCGCCGATCGGCTTTGCACTGCACGCACCGCGAAGTTCTTCAAACGGTCGACCCCTTCCCTCCTCTAACAACATAAAAACAACAACTAAAGAAATAAACGAGATTAATTAATTTACAAAATCAAAATTATTATTATTTTAATAACCACATCAGCAGCTGGCCACGCCGGTCTGGCTGGGATTGATCCAGCCGTTCTGGAAGGCGGTCTTGAAGGACCAGGGGTCGCCGCCCCAGGTCTGCGACCAGGCCCAGAAGACCCACCCGGCGGCCTGGCCGAAGCCCGCCACCTGGGCCTGGATCATGTCGCCGTAGCGGCCCGGCGACACGCCGCAGGCCGACCACTCGTCGATCAGCATCGGCTTCGGGTTGACCTGGTAGTACTGGGCGATCTGCTGCTGGCGCTGGTAGTGCGCGTAGTTGATGACGTTGTTGTCGCCGCTGGGCATGCCGCCGAAGCAGTGGTAGTAGTGAATCGACATGAAGACGTTGGTGTAGCCCTGGTCCGGGTTCATGAAGCTGGTCCACTCGGGCTCCGTGCCGTACTGGAACGGCGAGATGAGCGGGTTGATCACCACCCACGCCGACGACGTGTACTGGCGGATGCGGTTGTAGGCGTCCTATCGAAGAAACACACGCACACGCCACTGTCAGTCGCACACCAGAACGCACACGCACACGCACACGCACACGCACACACGACACACACGACACACACGACACACACCTGGTAGTAGGCCTGGACGGTGTCGATGTTGATGTTGCCCGATTGGGTCTGGTGGCCGGGCTCGTTTAGCAGGCAGAAGCCGAGGAGGGCGGGCTCGTTGGCGTAGCGCTGCACGTAGAGCTCGATCGAATCGGCGGTCTGAGCCGGGTTGGCCGCGTACTTGTCCCAGTAGATGTTGCCCGTGTTGTCCGGCGGGGCCGTGTCCTGGTTGCCGCTCTGCGAGCCCGGCGCGGCGTGGATGTCTGTCGGCATCGCACATATTAGTAAATAATATTATTTAGTATTTTGCTTGAACAAAGAAAAATGGGGGGGGGGCGAGTGGTACCGAGTAGGATGGAGATGCCGTACTTGGCGCCCCAGGCGAAGGCCTGGTCGATGTAGTGGAGGCCGCCGACGAGGTAGTTGGTGGGGGACACGTACTGCTTGAGGTGGGCCTTGGAGGCGCCTCCCTGCGGGTCGTAAATCTGCCACCACCCGACCGGCAGCCGCACCGTGTTGAGGTTGTTCTGGGCCATCTGCGCAAAGTCGCTCTCCTGCACGAACGTGGCCCAGTGCTTGGAGATGATGGTGTAGGCGTTGCCGCCCAGGCACTGCTCGAGCAGATAGGCCCCGGGGTACTGGTTGGAGTCGCACCCGCCCTGGTTCCAGAGCCAGCCCACCATCCAGGCCTCCTGGATGAGCCACGAGCCCAGGTTGGCGCCCCGCACCGGGTCCTGGCGGTTCTTGACCCGGTAGAGCCGCGTGCTGGCGCAGTCGCGGGGCAGGTCGGCCGTAGAGTTGAAGCTGGCCGAGGCCTCGAGTGCAAGTAGCGCCACGACGAGGACCACGACGAGCATGGACTTGGCCATGATGGTGGTATTAGGTGCGATGTTGGTTCTGTGACAAACAACAAGCGGGCGATTTATAAATCATCGAGGGGTTGCGTGGTTGGTGGAGGTTTTGTCGACGTCGATTCTGATTGGACAGCATCCCGACGAACAAACGCTGGCCGGCTATTGTCGGGTTTGGGTATGGTCGTGGTTGGTGGGTGCGTCATCGGAGTGTCGAAAGTGCGGACGAAAAAGCTCTGCAACTGGTCAGCCACTCTCTTTTTTAACAGTGGAATATAATTATTTCTTTATATTTGCCTAATTAGTCACAAATATAATAATAAAGAAATACACATGGCTATGTTTGGTATGTACAGATCTCAACGGGGATCGGTGTTGTCTTGTTCACTCGCGGGTCATCCTGATGTACGACGGCAGCGCGTCGAGCTGGAGCGCGGGGCCTTCTTCGTCGTCGTAGTCGTTGGGGTCGAGCTCGACCGGCACGGAGCCGTTCCAGGTGTCCATCAGGAAGGGCAGGACGTACTTGTTCAGCGCCGCGCCGTAGCAGGCACTGTAGTAGTCCCCGTGGTAGCACGAAACGCCGAAGCGGTGCAGACGGCCCGTCTCGTCCAGCTCCCTGTGTGGATGTAGATGCGGTGGTCAGTCACCGCAACACGCACACGCACCACCGCACACGCACGCGCACACGCGACAAAGCAATGGCGGAGTCAAGAGGGCAGGGTACCTGAGGCCAATCCAGTCCTCCTTGTAGAGGTCGAGGTCCTCCAGCGCGAGGACCTTGGTATCATCGTCGGGCGCATACGACCCGAACACGGACGACTGGCGCGGGTTGACCGTCTGTCCAACCACCAAATATGCGGGTCAGCATCTTCGTTGTTGTGTCGTGGTGCGTGGTGCGTGGTGCGTGGTGCGTGGTGCGTGGTGCGTGGTGCGTGGTGCGTGGTGCGTGGTGAGTGGTGCGTGGTGCGTGGTGCGTGCGAGCGACGGTGCTGACCTGATCGACCTCGGAGTAGACCATGGCAAAGTTGGTGAGCGAGAGCATGTTCTTCTTGTAGGCCGGATTCTTCTCGGGACCCTCGTTGTTGATGTCGGGCAGGAATTCGCACCTCTTGTGGTACGTCTGCAGCTGATAAGGATCTATGGCCACGTTGTGTGCGTGTGCGTGTGCGTGTGCGTGTGCGTGTGCGTGTGCGTGCGGGTGCGCCCAGTTAGGCCATGGTGGCAAACACGAACGAGCTTGTGCGAGAGCGAACCTCTCCAGTAGCCGGCGAAGGAGAACAGGTGCTGCGCCCACTCGGAGTAGATGAACGTCCCCACGAGCGTGTCGAGCGTGGTGTTGATGTACGGCACCCAGCAGATCTATTCATATATCATCAACCATCCGCACACGACACGACACACACGCGGCACGACACACGCGACATGGGGTTGCGTGGGGGACGCACCCGAGGCACGCCGTAGACGCCCATTTGAGGACCCAAGTAGGAGACGAGGTTCTTCACGGGCGGGTTGTTGCACCGCTCCACGTAGGCCCGAATCAGCACACCGCCCTACAGGTACACACGTGTGTGCGAACAGGCATCGTGAGTGTGTGCGGTCGTGTGTGCGTCATGAACGTGTGTGTCGTGTATGTTACCTGAGAGAATCCGAGGACGTTAACGCCACCAGCGAGCTTGGGGTCGGCCTTCATCTCGGCGCAGAACGCGGCCAGCTTTTGATTTCGAAAGAAGGGGCAAGTCAGCGCACGCAACACACCAGGACGCCCTAAGTGGGTGCGTGCAGGCCTATTATTATTACCTGGTCGTCCATGGGCCAGAAGAGGGAGTCGAGGATGCCGTTGCCGATCTCGATGGCCTTCACGTAGACGCCCGGCATCGCCCGCACCAGTAGGTTGCGCGTGTGCTGCACCGTCGCCGTGCTCGAAGCACTCCCTACCAATAAATATAAATAAATAAATACACCAAATAAATAATTAAATCCAAAGAAATTGTCAAAATACATATTAACAAATAAGTATAATAAATAGTCATAAATGTCGTAGTGAGAGGTACCGTGCATGAGGACCACAGGCGTCCATGAGGTGACGTTGGAGGCAATTACGTTCGGAGCGTTGACCGCCTCTTGTTGGCCGACAACAAGTTGCATCGTGCCGACGATGAAGACGAAGAACAAGAAGGAGCTCATGAATCTGAATCCTGCCATTGTCAAGATTCCCGCGAATTAATCTGCCTGGGGCCAAGGATTAATTCTACTCGTGTGGATGGTGGGAGTGTCCAGGCAAAAGTGGTGGCGACAGCTTCACTCCCACCGCCTCCCTGACAGATGTCAGTTGGGTGCTTCATCTGTGGTGCTGCCCCGTTTTCTGCGGTTCTCCTCGACTCCCCTGTCAGCCAAACGAAAACGAAAACGAAAACGAAAACGAAAACGAAAACGAAAACGAAAACGAAAAAACGAAAACGAAAACGAAAACGAAAACGAAAACGAAAACGAAAACGAAAACGAAAACGAAAACGAAAACGAAAACGAAAACGAAAACGAAAACGAAAACGAAAACGAAAACGAAAACGAAAACGAAAACGAAAACGAAAACGAAAACGAAAACGAAAACGAAAACGAAAACGACAGAGAAAGCGACGTGGTGGGCGATATGGGCATGCTGGATTGCCACGCTCACACAGGAACGAGAAGGACCGCCAATCGGGCGCTCTGGAAGAGCACATTTCACTTAGCGACAAAGTGTGGCTCTCGCGGGGATGTGGGCGAAAAAGCGAGAATGTGAACACATCAGTATGTGCGGGGAACACTGGGGGCTGTAAATGGTCCTGGTGAAGCCGCGCCAGCAATGTAGATCGCCTCGGTCCACCCGACCAGGCGTGGAGGTACTGTGAATTTCCGGTGTTGAGCGTCGGCGACTGGCCAGGTCAAAAGTCCAGCGATGACGAAGTGTTGGTGAGCCAATACCAACCCACCAACCCAACGGACTTTTGCAAGGTCAGAACGCCCATACGGCGGTGCAACCATTGTTTTGTTTTAAACTCCACCACAACCACAACTCTCCGGGCGATGGCCCCTTCTGGCTTCGCCAGCCAGCTGCCTTGAGATCTCAAGGCAGAGCAGAGGTGGGAAGATAGTTCGACCTGCCCACCTCCAGCCCACCGACATGGCCACAAGATCAGACGACCGACCGCACAAGCTAGCTTGGGATCTTGTGAGGGGTGCCTCTCAACATCTACTCTGCTCGTGCTTTGGATTTATGTGGCCCTCTGTTTGGTTGTGTTGTGAAGCTCGCTTGGCGATGCGCGAGGAGGAGGTTTCTCACTCCCTCTCCAAACAGACCATGGCTTGCAGTCCTGGCGGCCCATGATGGGAGTCAAAAGGTACGGGAGGGCGGGGAAGAGAGGATTGGTGTGGTGCATGGTGGTGTATTATTTGTTGATTTGAATAGACTGGAGCGGGAGCGGTGGTCCCGCCCTCGCACTACAAGCTCTCGTCACCTTCCTCAGGGGGCGAGGCAGCGCTCTCCGGAGAGTCCGAACTCACGCTTGTTGGGTTCGTTCCTCCATCACCGATCGGTTGGTGATTGTCGTCTTCGTTCGTCGTCGTCGGTCGGCGTGAAGCACGGGTTGCGTGGATGGCGTGGTACAGTTCGTCACACGGGTACGTGTCGGGTGGCGTGGTACTGTTGTTCGTTGGCGTCGTCGTTCGCGGCGAGATCGCTCGCCTATTTGCCCTCCTTGAGGCTCCACACCTTGACCATGCTCTTGATCTTGAAGATGTGAGAGAGCGCCGAGGGCTTGATGTGCTCCATCTCCTCGATGCCGACGATGACATTCTTCTCGTCGTCCACCAGGAGAGAGACCACGCACTGCGACTTGTTCGTGTGCTCACGCATGCGGAAGTCTGTGTTGTTGTTGCATTGCCACGTGTGAGTATGGAATGTCGTTGGAATGTGAGGCTGGTTGAGGTTGGCATACCAGCGATCTTGGCGATGAGCGCTCCGGTCTTGATGTCCCAGAGACGAATGGCGCCGGTCTTCCTGAACTTGCGACAGCGGAAGCTCATCCAACCACTCTCGACCGTCAGCATCTGCATGCCGCTCAGGAACACTCCGCTGATCGGTGCCATGGCCTTGCCAGCTGCAGCGTCAAGAAAATGAAGAAGGTGTATTGTCAGCATCATGTTCATGGTGATGGTGAAGGTGGTGAAGATGGTGGTGATGATGAAGTGGCGATGATCGTACCTTGCGGTTGTGAGCCGATATCGCGGAGCACGACTTCGCGCTCCCAGTTCCAGAGCTTGAGGCAGCCCTTCTCACTGGTGCGGTTCTCCTTCTTGCAGCCCGCGGCCGCCACCAGGTTGTTCTCGGCGTGGAGCGCAAAGATCGGGAATCGGCACGGCAGAGTGTGCAACGCTTCACCGCTGTCCACATCCTATTGGCCGTAGGATAAAAAGGAGTTAGCTTAAATGAAAACAAAAATGAGAAGAAAACAGAATAATAATAAAATCCAAGGTCAAGTTTCACTCACATGAAACGAAAGGTCTCAACAGCTGAGAGTTGTTTGCTTTTATGGTTGTGTTTTTGGTTGTTTGGCCCAGTTTATTCGAACTGCAAAGATCACGACGAGCAAGATACGAAACGACGAAGAAGATGAAGAGGCAGAAAAAAGAGGAACAGGAACAGGTGCACATACCCAGATCTTGATGGAGCCGTCCTGGGATCCGCTCACTAAGCGGAAAGGCGCGTTGGCGGTGGTTTTACGCTTCAAGACCTGGAGGCAGGTCACCGCCGCCGTGTGGCCGGCGAACTGCTTCACGCACTCGCCGGAGTCGAGATTCCACAGCTTGAGCGAGTGGTCTGTGGTTCATGTTGCGTGCCGTTGTCAGATCACACAGCACAGCGTCAACTGTGGGGTGGTGAGTGGCGTGGTATATATGGCGGTGTACCTTGCGAGCCGGTCACGACGTGGTTGTCGTTGAGGAACTGGAGGCAGGTGATCCACCCGCTGTGGCAGTCGATGCTCCGCACCAGCTTGCCCGAGTGGAAGTCGTACTCCTCGACCGCGTAGGTGTCATTGCTCTTCTTGGTCGAGATGACCAGGCGCGTACACGATTCGTTCACTGCCAACACCGGGAAGTTCTGCAGACCAATAGCCAAAATCACAGTTAATCCACAATATCTCTATAAAAGGAAAAATCTTATACATAAAAAGAACTCAAGACCAGAGAGAAAAACCGATGGATGTACCTGCGAGGGAAGGGTCAGCGAGGCGGTGAGCTCGCCGCTCCTGAGGTCCAGCGCCTGCACCGTCCCGTCCATGCCCGAGTAGTGGAACACCGTGTCCTGTGTTCGCAGAAGATGAAGATGGTGAGTTCCGTACGTTCATCAGTGGTCAACTACTGAGAGTTTGGTACCTTGGCGTTGGGTCGAGGGAGGAGCTGCCAGATCGGGTGGGTCTTGAGCGGGAGCGTGTTGCGTAGGTAGAACCGGCCGGCGCGCCAGTTGACGTGCCGCCAGTGCTGGCGCCGCCGGGCGGCCAGGCTCGAGTCGCTGCGGATGAGCTCGCGCCAGCTCCAGCACACGGCGCTCGCGTTGCAGATGTCGTGGGTGGAAGCTGGCAGGAAGCTGAAGATGTGCGACACCAGCTCGAGCGGCAGAGCGTTGAAGCCCGACACGTCGGTCTCGAAGGCGACGTGGTTCGACGAGGTCGACGACGTAGTCTCTCGGCGAGGTGCGAAGTCGTCACAGAGCTCGAGGACGGCCGGGGTGTTGGACGGCAGCGAGAGGCAGATGGCATGGACCCGGCTGGCGATGGCTGCGGAAGAGGAATAAAGTGAAGTAGAAGAAGAAGAAGCAGCTGAAGAAGAAGTAGAAGATGGAGAAGTAGAGAGATCTGGTGCGATGCAGTCGACGGTCTGGAACGAGGCAGACACGCTCTTGATACGCCTCTTAATCTTGTGGGCGATGTCGGACTTGTTGTGGAAGGGCGCGGGGGTGCGGGGGGTGGAGGGGGAGACGTAGGCCGACACGGTGCTGGCGAGGGCGAAGGGCGCGTTGGGGTCATTCGACTTGATGATGATGTCGTTGTTGCTGCCCAGGCTCGCGGGGTGCTGCTCCTGGTCCTGTTGGTGGCGAGAGGAGGTGGGGGTGTCGGCTGGGGTCTGCTGCTTGCAGTTGCCCTTCCTCTTCCTGTGAGTAGTATTGTCCTTCAATCTTCTGAAGAAGCGAAACATGTTGTGTCAACGTGTGGTGGTGCTGTGCAGGTGGAGGTGAAGATGAAGATGAAGGTGGGTGAGAGTGAGGTGGTGATGCGGGGTGATGTGAGGTGCCCTATCCGTGGAAGATGAAGATGAAGGTGTGATGCTGAAGTGCTATGGGTGGTGTGTGTGAAGTGGATGAGGAGAGAAGAGAAGAAGGCGTTCGATGGTGGACCCCTTTTGTAGTGCGCGGCGGGCTGGGCGCGGTGCTAAATTCAAAGCGGCCGAAAATTGGCCTCAAACCCAGCCGACAAGGCCGCCGTTTGCCACCAGGAAGAACGCGGGAAACCATGCCCCGAAAATTCACCAACTCTGGGACGTTGAAATGTCAAGAATGCCTCAGTTTTGAATGCGAGCATTCCTCAGATGATTAAAGGGTGATCCGGTTACACGAACCGCCACGCGATCTGTGGCGATCGACATGAACTGCAGGCTCAAGGTCAGGTGATAAGGTGACCCAACCCAAAAAATCCCCACTCACCTGCAAAGCATGAACTGGAAGAAAGGACATATCACAGAATTGCCCCTGCAAGCTGGCACCACTGGTGGCTGGAATGAGTGAGGGGATCATCAATCTCACTGTAGCCAATGATTCCCTCTACTTAGCACTCCTTTTCAGAGAGCTCTTTAAGAATGGTCTTTGGGAAGTCCATAGTATTGGTGTTTGGTGGCACAGTTTGACCAAACCATTCCAATCCAGTGTGTGCTATTGCCCAACCTGAGAATGAAGCTGTGCCATTTGGGGTGTATGGTGGCGCTTTGTTATCATTCTTTAGCACAGCACACATGGGCCTCCACCTCCAACATGAATCACCTGCAATGGGGGAAGAAAAGTGAAAAGAAAAGAGGTTTCTCTGTTTTTTTTACATTGACGTCACGCCAGCACGGCAGCACAAAAATAAAAACAGATTGTTTATTGCAGGAAATGGAGAAAGATTCGGGTGTCGGCGAAGAAGAGTACACAAGCTACGAACCTGAGGACTCTGTTCCTCGCGGTACGGTCCACAAGTACGCCTGTTATCAGAATCGACACCAAGATTAATCGTAATTTCCAGATGATGCCGTAAATGGAGGTTTCGTGCCGGTGATCGTCATCACCGGAGCCAGCAGTGGCATAGGAGAAGCCATCGCCCTCCAATACGCTTCTTCCCGCGCCTGCCAGTGCGCCACCACCTCTACTCGTACTAAATAATGACTATTTATTTATTTTATTTTATTATTTTAACCGTTCTATTGCCTTGGTGCTGCCTACCAGGTTGGTCCTGGCTGCGCGCTCGCGGGACAAGCTGAAGGCAGTCGCCATCAAGTGCCGCAAGCTCGGGTGTGAGGTGGCCATCATCCCCACCGACGTGTCCAAGCCCAAGCAATGCAAGTGCGTACACCTCTTCTTTATACATTTATTTATTTTTAATTTGATTTTATTTTTTATCGGCTCACCCGGGTGCTGGTTCGCGCACAGGTTCCTGATCAAGGAGACCATCCGCATCTTCGGCCGTCTCGACTACCTGGTACTCAACGCCGGCGTGTCCATGCACATCGCCTTCGAGGAGCTCAAGGTTCGCGCGCACCCTCACAACTCTCTTTGTGTGGTGGTGGTGGTGGTGTTCACACAAGGGCGGCTCGTTGTTGACCAACTTGCATTCCTCTACTCTAACCCCTTTATATTGTACTTGATTGGTGTTGCAGGACCTGGAGATCTTCCACAAGCTGATTGACACGAACTACTTCGGCTACGTGTACACGACACACTTCGCTCTGCCCTTCCTGCGCAAGAGCCCTCAGCCCAAGATCGTGGTCATTGGATCCCTCTCGGGTATGTACGCTACCAGTTTTCTATACGCCACACGTACACGTGTGTGTCGTTCGTGTGTCGTGTTGCGTCTGTCTCGGTTCGGGCTAATTCGTCTCTCTTCTGCCAGGCGAGACTGGGGTGCCGCTGCGTACGGGCTACTGCGGCTCGAAGTTCGCAGTGAACGGTACGGCTGCCCTTCCACCAATGTGTTGGTGCCTCTTGTGCAAGTCTTGAGATGCCAATCTCCTCCCACGCCGCGCGCTCACAGGTTTCTTCGAAGCCCTGCGGACCGAGCTGGGCCCAGCAGTCCCCATAACCATCGTGTCACCTGGGTAGGGAATGCGTGTCGTGTCGTGTCGTGTCGTGTGTGTGGTGTGTGTGGTGTGTGCGTGTGTGGTGCGTTGCGTGCTGCGATGGCTGACATGATGGGTAGGTACGTGGACACGGAGATCCGGCAGAACGCGTACGGGCCAAAGGACTTCAACCCGGCGTCGGGAGGCATGATGTCGCCCAAGCGCTGCGCCGAGCTGATCGTAGAGGCCGCCGATCAGAGGCGACGAAAGGTGGTGCTCACGCTGAGCGGCAAGCTCGCCTACGCGCTTCGGCCATTCGTGCCCGACATCATCGACATGCTCGTCAAGCGGAAAGCTCACCAGAAGAAGAAGGCCGCGCTCTAGGCCACCATCGGCCGCGACACAGCCGACAACAAAGAAAAGAAGAGAAAAGAAATGATAATATTCACCTGATGGTCGCTTGCTTAGGCGCTGGCGGAGGCTGAGGCGGAGGCGGAGGCGGTGGAGTCGAGCTCGCGCTTCCGCTGGGCAAAGTAGGGGTTGAGGGGCTTCATGGGCGTGAGGAGCTTCTTGGCGAAGCTCTTGGGCGAGTAGTAGTCGATCCCCGACGCCATGGTCCGCGCGATGAAGTGCCCCACGAACGTGTCGTGCAGCGTCGCCGCAATCGTCCGCGCGATGTTCTCCGGCGCGTCCTCAAACTTCTGCACCACGTGGCGGAACGTGGCCTATGACGAACGCACGCACAGACGATGAGTCGAACCGCACACGGCGCACACGACACGACCAACGACACACACGACGACACCGGGGGGGGAGGGAAAAGAAGAGAACCTCGGTCAGCTTTTCGCCGCTCGGGGTGCTGAGCAGCTTGTCGAAGTCGTTGTGGATGTAGGCGTCGAGCGCGGCGTCGTAGACGTGGGGCGTCTGGCCCTTCTTGATCTTGGACGGCGCGATCGACGGGAGAATGAGTCGCGAGATCCAACTCATGTTCTTCTTGATGTTCTCCTGCCGTGCCAGCACCTCCGTAGCTCTTTGTTTGGCCCCCACGACACGACACGACACGACACGACACGGCACGACACGGCGGACGAGAGTGAGTACAGAGTTGGGAAGTGGTTGGATTAGCAGAGAGGCCGGCGTACCGGATTCTGGCCGCGGCCTTGGAGACTGGGCTTTCAATAACGAGCTTGGTGACCTCATCCGCCAGCAACAGGTCGGCCCATGGGAAAGCGTCAATCACCTGTTTTGAAACACAACGTGTGTCGTGTGTGTGTCGTGTGTGTGTGTATTGTGTGTGTGTGTGTGTGTGTGTGTGTGTGTGTGTGTGTGTGTGTGTGTGTGTGTGTGTGTGGAATCGATGGTTGTTTAGACTGTAGGACAAGGAAGTGGGACTCGACACAATGGTGGGCGCACCATGGCGGTAAAATGCTTCGGCAAGGACTGATCGACAGCCAGCACTGCTGCCGTGCCAGCCTCCCACAAGGCACGAGCCTCGTCTGGTACGCACACGCACACGCACCACCGCACACGCACACGACGCACGGCACACACGCAGAGGAATCAGTGTGTGATGCAAGAGGGAGAGAGAAAGAGAGAGAGATTTTGAGCAGCAGATGATGCACAAGCGCTCGCTTACCCTTGATCTGCTGCTCGTCCGCGGGGGAGAGGGTGATGTCGCGGTGCAGGTCGCGCAACACGCCCTCGAGCTCCCTCGCGCTCAGCTGGCCGTGCAGCACCGCCTCCTGCAGCGACATCTTGTCTGCATACATCGAGACAAATAAACACGTAAATAAACAATAAAAATCCTTAAAAACAAGTAGAAAATAAATAACAGTAAATATAAATAAGAAATAAAAATTTGTAGAGCAAGAGACCTGATGGTGCAGGGCTGCCTTCCTTGGCCTCCTTGTCGCTGGGTGGCTGCTGGACATCGATGTTCTTGGCGTTGGCGCTAATCTTGGCGGCATTGGACGAGGAGGCGGCCTTCTGCTGGGCCTGCGTCATCTGTTCCTCCATCTGCTTGGTGTAGCGCTCGACCCGCTGGAGGATGAAGGCCCTGGCGGGCGCGTTGGCCCGTGCCAGATCCTGCATGAGGCGGATGACGTCGGCCTTCTTGTGCTGGCTGAGCGCGGACTTGAGAAGCGGGAGATGGAGGTCGAAATCGATTTCCGCAGGGACCTCGTTGTTCTTGGCCAGCAGCGTGCTCGCCTCGAGCGATTGCGGCGTTGGCCTGAAGGAGAAGGCGGCGTTCAGCGCCTCCCTGATGTCGTTGTTGGTGGAGGGCGTGGCACGGAAGCCTCGCGAGGTCATCTGCCCCATTGGCCCGATCGAGGAAGAACCATGCGATTGCAGCAGCAAATGGCGCGAAGCAGGCGAAACCGAGTGGCGGCCCACAGTGTGCAGGGCAGAAGGTGCGATCGCACCAGCAGTGGATGTTCGTGCCAGTCTCTTCATCTTGTTCTAATTGATGCTCCAAAATACAAATCCAAAAATTAGCAGTGAACACGCAAGCCTGACGTCAGCATGACGCACGACAAGCTCAGGAGTTCGAACACCGCAGTTGGCCGCCAGAAACAAGCTCCCGAAGCTGCAGCCAAGTGGCCAGAGGCAGAGACGAAGAGTGCAATGAGCGGATACGGTCAGATGGCGAGAGGGGGTGCGATGGAGGCAGAGAGGTGAGGGCTGTCGGATACGGCCATACTGCGCAGAAAGCACCGCTTCCCATCCGAACAGCGAAGTTAAGCTGCGCCAGGCGGTGTTAGTACTGGGGTGGGCGACCACCCGGGAATCCACCGTGCCGTATCCTTTTTACTCTCACTCTCCATGATGATCATGGATGATTATTCTTGTTGCTTTTTCTGATCTCAGCCAAATGGCATTGGTAAAGCAACAACTCCATCAACCACAAACCACACAACCATGGTGCTGGGACTACCTCAGTCCAGGCCAGCAGATGGATCAGCATGGATTAAATTGTTCAGGAGTGTCAGCACTTGCACCACAGGGGTTAGGCACTCACTAAGCCCTTGCCAGTTACACTTGGCCATTTACCATGCCTTGGGTGCTGACTTGAATCAGTCCTTCAAGGTGTGTAGTTCAGCTACCCCATGTGCAGCCCATCAGAAGGTCATCAAAATGTTGGTGGGGAGATGCCACACAACAAGCTAAGGTGGAGAGAGAGTAAAAAGGGTGTGCACCATAGCTGAGGGTGAAGTCCCAGTTCTTGTCTTCTGTGGCCAGGTTGGCAATTCTCCAGACTTGGTGCTAAGAAAAAGAGAAAATCAGTTTATGTTGTCTTTTCAATAACAACAAAATAACAAGAAGATTGAATGGTGGGGAGGCCCAGGAGGAGATGTTGAATGTGCATGTGGCCAAAAAAAGCAGAGATGGACCATTAAATAAAAAACCTAATTTTGCAGCAATCATAATCCAGCACAAAAAACTCACACATTTCACAAGCACATCAAAGAGGATGGAGGTAAGTGGAGCACCTACTGGATGATTGACAAGGATGAAGTTGAGAGGAGTGTAGTTGCCCAAGAGGGGTGGAGGTACATTCTCTGCCAATTCCACACAGTCAAGCTATGGACTGAGCATCTCAAGGTGTGCAAGAGGATTTTGGCTGTCTGTTGAAGAACATGACCTGGGAGCTTGTTCCTCTTCCCCCCAGCCACAAGGTCATCAAGGGGCGCTGGGTACTTTGGCAGAAAACCCTAGCAGATGGAACACCAGAACACTTCAAAGCATGCTGTTTTCTTCAAGCAAAATTCATGGACTACAATGAAATGTTTGCCCCCATGGCTCACCTGGATAACTTTTGTATGTTCATTGCTCTGCTGTTGCTCTCAACCTTGAAATCCATGTCACAGTTCAACTGCTACAGGCAAGAGCACTGGGTTGCAGCAAAACAACCTGGACATTCACATTCCCAACCTGCTGGCCAACAAGATCTGTGTGCTGGTCTACTCTGGCATTGGTATCCTTGTCCCCCCATCATGTGTTGGGGTGCTGACATTCATGTCCTTCACTATATGCAAATCCTTGTGACCTGGCAATTCAACATGACCAACATCTCTATTGACTCCAAGGACAAAGAGTTTTCTCTTCTTCTTGTCAACTCTGGGCAGACTTTCCATGGGGCATAAAAACACTTTGACCTCAAGCTCAAAATTGTCAACACCAGACTGCAAGACATGCCCACTGAAGTCAAGACAAAAACCAATTTTCTCCTTTATTCTTTATTCTACTCTCTGTTCAATAAACATCTCTTCTGTGACTCTTGCCATCTACTCAACTCTGTTCAATGCTGAAAACCCAAGCCATGGAGGCCCAATGAGATGATGAGGCAAGAGGGTGTGTTGTGGCACTGCATGTGGTCAAATGTGACCAAGAATTTGCACTCCACACTTCATGCTGTTTGCCTTGTACCAGTTGACACATCACTTGAGGCTGATGTTGCTGTGCAAGGGGGAGGCAAGCAGCTTGATGAGTTGGATGAAGAGGTTGGTCTTGATCATAGCTGGGTATGGTACTTTCATTCTGCGAGAGGGGGGTGTGATGGAGGCAGAGAGGTGAGGGCTGTCGGATACGGCCATACTGCGCAGAAAGCACCGCTTCCCATCCGAACAGCGAAGTTAAGCTGCGCCAGGCGGTGTTAGTACTGGGGTGGGCGACCACCCGGGAATCCACCGTGCCGTATCCTTTTTACTCTCGCTCTCCTGCCCGCATGGATCGTTTATTGTCGCATTCTTTTCCCGCTTGCGGACAAGTTTGTCTAGGTACTGGGTAGGTCGCTGGCGTCATCTTCAGGGATGCAGAGGCTGCCCGAAGCGGCGGTCTGCTCGTCTACCATGCGCTGGAACCAGGCCTGGTCCTCCACATTCTTGAACGCCAGCCGGTGGAGCTTCCGCATCTTGCCCAGGTACCGCCTGTGCCGGCACTTTTCCAGCCATTTTCGGCACTCATCGAACCGACGCGAGACTGTAGTACACCAGAGAATGTTCGTAAAGTCAACACGACACACACACGACACACACGACACACACGACACACACGTGGCACGACACGCGCAGAATGCAAGCGAGAGGCGTGGAGTACCTGCGTAGATTCGAGCAAAGCAAAAGTCGGTGTAGGGATCGTTCAGCGCACTGTCCGTGCTGTTGAGAATTTGCTCGGCTTGCGCCACGGACTCTTGCAGGTCCTTCCGCCAGGCCGCCAACCGTTCGCCGAGCACCTCGGTCGGCTCACGGTCGTAGTCCTATTTTAACTCCGAATCGTTACAAGTTGAGGTTTGCACTTAATGATCTCATCGGTCGGTTGTGATCGGTTGTGGTTGGTTGGTTGGAAAGATGAATTAAGTGTGCACCTCTTGCACCGCAGAGATGTGGTTGTCGAGAAAACAGGCTCGAGTGAGGTAGACCACAGCGAGCCCGTGGATCAACTGGATGCACATGTCCGTGTCTCCGAGGGCTACTAACTCCTGTGCCTCCTGTTCATCATCAAACGTGTCGTGTCGTTGGTCGTGTCGTGTCGTGTCGTGGGTCAGCAAAGTGAGAAAACAAATCCCTACGTGGAAAATGAGGACACGGCGTACAGCGTATATACTGGCGGCTTCATCGATCAGCGACAGCTTGGCCTCGAGGGCCGGTATCAGCTCCGCCTGCTCCTTGATGGCATCTGCTCCAGCGCGCGACAGACGAGTTTGGTGCAAAGCTGTGCGGCAACGCAAAAAAGCGGGAATGAGCCAAAGGCCACAGGCAGCGTGCGTGTACCGGCCATGTTGGAAAGAAGCAGCGGCGCAGAGAACTCGTGGATCGCCAGCTCGTACTCGTCGATCGCCTTGATGTACCACTCAAGCGCCTCCTGTGCGCCGTGGTTTAGCAAAAAAGAAAAACTACGAACAGAAAGGAAGAGTCCGTACCAGCGGTTGATCCTGCTCGAACAGTTTGGTGGCGATCTCGTGCATAATGTAGGCGCACTCCTCGTTTTCCTCCTCAGTCCTATTTGCTTGCTGATTTATATTTTTTTTAGTTATCAGTACAGACATAAATATTTCTCTATATATATCTATACAGAAATAAAATAATAACCCAGGGAGGGACGGCGTACGTCGGGGAAGAGCTCGAGTGCACTCTTGAACACTGCGATGGCTTCTTCGTGCGTGTGGATGTCCGAATCACCGTACGTTCGTATCACACCTGCACATAAATAAATATAAAAATTACTCAAATTAAAAAGAGGAAAAGAATTTTTTATATATATAAAAAAAGCAGGAGCCAGGGTACCGGCCAGGTAGGAGTGCTCGATGGCCTTTATCGTGGCGTTCGGTGCCAACTCCTCCGATTTCTTGTAGGCCTCGATGGCTTGCTCGTACCAGGTGCGCAACCCTGGTTGAAGGTGGCGTGTGCACGCACGCGCGTTTAGCGCGCGTGTGCGGTGATGCGTGTGGCCGTTAAAATAAATAAATAAATAAAAAGGAAAACAAAACAAGCACAATCCATGCCTCTCTTGGTGTGTGGGAACTGCTTTTGATAGACGGCAAACTCGATGGACACGTTGCCCAGGCCCGTGTAGGCCGCACGCATGTCCCTCCTGTTCTGTACGCCCGAGACGTGAGCCATGTCCACTCGCATCCGCAAAACGGCGCACGACACGCACGACACGCACGACACGCACACGCACACACACACACACACACGTACAAGAGGGAAAGAGAGGGCCGAGAGAAACTGCTCCTGGCTGACCAAGTAGAGCATCCGCGTGTCGAGGTCGTCTCGGTCTTCGTTCCACTGCATCGGGTCGTCTTCCACCTTGGGCCGCTTCTCGTAGAGGTGGTACCCGCCGGCGAGGTACATGGCCGCAGTCCTCTCGTGTGGGTCGGCCCCGAGTATCGCCTCTACTTCTTTGGAGCGCTCCAATTTCCTGTTTTGTAACGTGAGCGTGTGTGGTGGTGCGTGTGCGATGGTGCGTATGCGTGTGCGTGTGCGGTGGTGCGTGTGCGGTGGTGCGTGTGCGTGTGCGTCAGCGCATAGAACGCGGTTCCACAAGCGCACGCGATGCGTGTGACTACCTTCGGAGCCAGAAGAATTGCTTCCACGACGTGAGCCCGCGCACGAGCGGCAGATCGCGCTTGTACTCCTCGTGCTCCGCGGAGCGACTCGCGTACACCTCGTCCACCTTGCCCTCCTCCTCCTCTTTCTCTTTCGTCCCTTCTGTTCTCTCTTCTTCTGCTGATACGCCCTCGGTGAGTTCTTTCACTTCGTTCACTTCTTCTACGGCGGCTTCTTCTTCATCGGCTTCATAGTCGTCTTCTTCGTCTTCGCCATCATCATCGTCTTTCTCCCCCGCGGCCAGCTTCCGCCGCACCTCCTCGCGATAGCGACGCGCTTGTGCCGCTGTTGCCGACCATTCCCGCCCATACAAGCTCCGCCACTGCCTGCCAAATAAATTATATTCCATCAAAAGCGAATAAGTCATAATGTCTATTTTTATTTGAAAAAATAATTTAAAAAAGGATCGACAACTGAATTCCAGGTTGGAAAAAATAAAAAAAAAAATAAAAGAAATGGAGGAGATTCGTACGAGTCGAGGTCGGCGAGGGCGAGGAAGAGGCGCGAGACGCAACGCGTGGTGAGAAGATCTTGGGCGCCCAGGAAGGACAGACAGTGCTGCACGATTTCCGGCGGTAGAGATGGCAGCCGATTTGCATCGCCTTGCCCGAAAATGGTCTCTAGCTCCATGCCAGAGCCGGCTACGTCATCCCAGTCCTCGATCTTTCTCTTCCGCCCCACGCTCCTGCGTCCTTCCTGATCCATCTCTCTTTGTTTCTTTCTGCAATAACCAAAATGTTTGCAGAAATTGCCAATTTATTATAGATAAAAATCAGAGAAAAACCATAAAATTTCGAATGGAGACGAAGGGATCATAGATCAGATCCGTCTCTTCCACTGCCCACGGGCTGGCGCCAGTTCCAATGAAGAGGCCAAAAAGAAACTGCGCGTGGGAGATGGCTTAGTCGGTCTTGGTGGTGATTACGCTGGTGGAGCCAACGATGGTGGCGGCGACGGTGGTCTCGGGGATGCCGATGGTCTTGGTGGTGGTCGTGGTGGATTCGATCACCACGGGGGGCGGGGTGACGAGGGGCGGGGTGACAGTGAATGCAGCGGGCTGGACCGGCGAAGGAGTGACAGTGAAGGCGGAGCCCTGGACCGACGGCGGCTGGACGCGGAGCGGCGGCACCGAGATGGCGGGGACCTCCACAGTGATCGCGGCGCCCTGAGTTGATCAAGCAAGGCGTTAAAAAGCGCACCAAAGAACGAAGCCAAGAAATAGTGAAGGCGAAAGAACGAAAAGCGAACCTGGAGAGGAACAGGGGTCATGGTGATGTCATCGAGGATGATGGGCGGAGGCTGGACGACGATGGGCTGGAGCTGGACGGCATCGGGGTAGATGGTGAAGGCGGGGATCTGGATGACGATCGGCGGCACGGACACGGCAGGCAGGTTGACAGTCAGCGGAGGCACGGGGATGGGGGTGAACGACACGGTCACGGCCGATCCCTAGAAGCCAATCACAACAGAGATAAGTTAAAAAGCACTGTGATAGGTTGGGTGGAATGTTGTAAGTCTGCATACCTGAAGGGGCACGGGCGTGACGACGATGGACGAGGGCTGCACGGGCGGCGGCTGGACGGTGAGCGGCGGGGGCTGGACGGGCGGCGGCAGGACCGAGAAGGGCGGGACCGAGACCAAACCAGGCCTGACCAGCAGAGCAGGAGGCTGGACAGCCGGCGGCTGAACCACGATCTTACCAGGGATGATTTCAGCGCTCTGATTGGTTAAAAAGATAAAAATGTTGATGTGATCAGTAAACACTGCCACTTGTGATCACACAGCGAAGGCCAAGCCACGAGGGTGTATGTACCACAGGCGCAGTGGCGCCAACCACAGTTTTGTCGACGGCGAGAGCGAAGGCCGCGAAGGTGAGGGTCAGTCCCAGGAGGAAGAGGAGACGGGTGGAGGAATGAGTCATAATTGATGGAGTCGGTCCCGTGGAGCTGGAGTGTGTGTTGAGGTCGGGTCTGTGTTGAGGTCTTAGATAAAGAGAGGAGGACTGATGCTTTCCATTGGCCTCGTGGTCCTCCTTTATACTTGGCCATCTTGATCAGGAGTGGTCCAGCCCCTAGGTGCAGCTGGGTCGAATCATGGGCGAAACTCCAGCCAAAGACTGGATTGGCTCCTGCCCTAGAGGCCCATTGGCCGGCCACTGTAATGACTCCTGGTCACTGGTGGTCCGGAGCCAACAAGCCTGGTCTCTACTCTCTTCAATTTCGTCGTTTTCGCGTTCATGTTGCAGACACCTTCGTTCCACGACGACCAAACCAATTTGCCCAATGAGGCGCTGGTAGTGGGCGCAGAGGCCCAATCGCCTGATCGCCCGTGGAACAATATCGATCAGGTCAATGGCGCACGGCACTGCTATTCAGAGCAGCCCAAGCACTTTGTAAAAGAGCACTTGTGGTCTACAGGCCCAGCAGAGGTCGCTACCATCAGCCAGGCTTCTGGAAGAACAGCGGCCTGCCCCTTAGCACAGCTCCCAAGTAAGGCGGCTCCACCCCGAATGTTCATCCGCTTAGAAAAATCTATCCACCACAAGTTCCCCAATACCCTTCATAGGCTCCAACGTTATCGAACACTCACCACCCATCTCTCGAGAGAAGTTGTGCGGAAAACTTTCCGCAGAAAAAGCGAAATTTCCACGATTGCAAGCTTGATTATTGCCGACCGATAAAGGTTGTCAAGGTTGAGCTGTTGTGTGTCTGTTGTCTGTGTCTTCTGTGTCTTCTGTTCTGTTGCTCTGCCCCGCGCCCGCTACACGTTTGCTTCTTCTCCCTTCCACACAACCACTGCACCCACTACAGCTTTCTGCCCTCCCCCCCCCAAGAAGAAGAGATGGCGCTGACGGGGTCGTCTTCGCCCCATTTCTACCTGGCACGCTCGCGAAGCACCTCCCTGCCTCCCCTCTCCTCGTCCTCTTCCTCTTCATCCTCCAAGTCTTCCAGCGTGTCCCCCTTCGCCGCCTTTTGCTCCGCCCTGACCTGGCCCAACCACGTCCTGCCCTCCCTGGCCCTGGCCTTCGACGAACCCTCCTTCTTCGCCGACCTCCGAGTCGACATCAACCCCATCATCACCCCCACTTCCTCTACTCCATCTTCTCCATCTCCATCATCTTCTCCATCATCTTCATCTTCATCTTCTTCTACACAGCAAGGAGAAGGTGAGGAATGCCAACATTCCACAAATACCGAAGAGAGCAGCCCGCGACTAGGGCAGGACTGCGTGTGGGTCCACCGTATGGTGGTGGCGGTGCACAGCCCCGTCTTCCGATCCCTGCTGCGCTCGGGCTCAGAGGCCGGTGGGTCGCGCGAGAGCCGCGAGGGCGTCATCGACATGTGCGGCCCGCAGCATCCGCCCGGCCGCGTGGTCCGTTGCCTGCTCAAGATGATGTACGCCTCGCCCGGTCTCGCCATCGACGAACTCGGCCACGAGCCCAAACTCTCTGACGGTACACACGCTGTCTGTGTCGTGAGTCGTGTGTCGTGTCATTGTTTGTGCGTGTGCGGTTGTGTCTGACATGTGCGCGTGCGTGTGCGTGTGCGCACACGACACGACACGACACGCACAGAGTGGGAATTCCTGCTGCAGCTGTTCAAGCTGGCCCATCTGTACCAGGTGGAGGTGGTGCTCGACGCCTGCACCCGGCGACTCAAGCACATCCTCGAGCAGCTCAAGGACACCACCGCCACCACACCCGCAGCGCGCCAGGCCACCGTCCAACACCACCGCCGCGGCTCCAAGGCCGCCGCAGCTGCAGCCGCAAACGCCGCGGCCGTCGCGGATGTCGACCTCAACGGCGGCGGCGGCGAACTGAGCGACGAGGAGGAGGAGCGGACCCGCCAGACGTGCTACGCGCTCGAGCTGCTGGCCTTCCTGCTCCACATCAAGGAGGCCGAGACCAGCGACCACCCCACAGCGAGCCGCCCAGCCCCATCAACACCACGACCGGCCGCCGCAGCCAGTCGGCACCCGACGTTTCGCTGTCGTCGTCCACACAACCGCGCGATGTCGACAGTTCAGGCGATGACGTCAGCACAGCACCGGGCAAGAAGGTGGTCGAGGTGGGCGTCGAGGCTGAGGAGGCCGCGGCGGCCGTGGCCCCGGTGGGCGAGCAGCGGGAGGAGATGCTGGTGCGGATGCTGGACCACCACCTCTACCCGCAGCTGGCCATGATCGTGCAGCACATCCGGTGCGAGGACGTGCTCACCCTGCAGCACCTCCTGCAGCTCTCGGTGTGCACCGCGCGGCCGTCGTCGCCCACCACGGCCGCCGCCGCCACGGCCTCGCTCACGCCCCCGTGGCCGGGCGGCATGCGGGCCACCAGCCATGCCAAGCTCTACAGCGCCTGATTCACATTCCAACCGTTTTTCTCTTCTTTTGTTTTGTTTCTCTCCAAAAAATATGTACATAAAAATGCAACCACCAAGCAAGAACAAATAATACTAATTATTTGATTTGATATTCAGGTGTTTTTATCATTTTCATTTTATTGGGCAATTTTGTGGGTGGGTGCGGAATTGTTGGGTTAAAGGGCGCGGGAGGGGATTGGCTGGCGCGGTTGAGAGTGGCGGCTGTTCCTCCGCATTCAGGGGACGCTTCGCCCGAGGGACCGTCAAGGTGGTGCTGAAAACTCACTCACGTCACTCGGCTCTGCAGCTTCACACGAGCACGCACCACTGCTTCTTGCGAGTACGACAAGACTGCACAACACACAACACACACACAACACCAAGACTTGAAGAAGAAGCAGGAGAAGAAGAAGAAAGATGTCGACGACTGCGAGAGGTACGGGAGCGAGGCGCGAGGAGGAGATGGTGGCGCCCAACGTGCACAAGCACCACACGCACGACCGCAAGGACGAGGTGAGGCAGCTCTTCGCCCAGTACGACAGCAACAAGGACGGGCACCTCACCCTCGACGAAGTCGCCCGCGTCTTCAAAGATCGTACGCGCTCTCACACTTTCCCCGAACCGCACACGACACGACACGACACTCGCGCAACCGCACTCACCGCACACGACACTCACACGGCACTACACACGCAGTGGGAATGAGCGAGGAGGACGCGCCGATGGACTTCAAGATGTGCAGCCTCGATAGCAAGGGGACGTGGAACTGGGAGGAGTTCAAGTTCTTCCACGACAAGATGATCTCCGAGACGCGCAAGCCCGACAAGTCGGCCGGTGGCCACACGTCCTACAAGGCGCGCGAGGGCGAGATCAGGAGGTGCGCGCCGTGTGCCGTGCGTGTCGTGCGTCGTGTGTCGTGTGTGTCGTGTGCGGTTTGGTTGACTACTGCGTGTGTGCGGTGTTGGTGGCGCACAGGACCCCGGCGGCCAACGAGAAGCTGATGGGCGGCAAGTACCACTCCGTGGTGCGCTTCGTCCCTGTGAACTGGGACGCCATGCACGCCCTCTTCAATGCCTTCGACTCCGACAACGACGGCTCCCTCGACAAACAAGAGGTGCGCGTGTGGTGCGTGCGGTGGTGTGTGCGGTGGTGTGTGTCGTGCGGCTCATGGTGGACCACGGACCAGGTGTTGGATCTGCTGAGGATTTGGGGCACGCCGCTGGACAAGCACTTACTGGACAAGGAGTGGCCCAACTGGGACAACGACTTCGACGGCCTCCTCGACTGGAACCAGTACAAGCGTCTCTTCCAGGTCCTCCTCGAGAAGCACACCCTCCACGGCTAAAACCGCACACACGACCGCACGCACGACACCCGCACGCGCGCACACACACGCACGACACGCGCACACACGCACGCACACACACACATTGCAATGAAGCGTCGGTTCATTCATTCATTACTATTTACAAAAGAGAGATAAAGTGGTGGCGGGAAAAGTTAGTGGACGGCGCCGTGGTGGACGTCGAGCACGGCGTTGGCGGCGTGGAGGAAGGCGTCGTCGACGTGGGCTCCCTCCTTGGCGCTGGCCTCGAAGTAGGCGAAGAGGCGGTTGCCCTCGACCCGGCCCCGGCACCAGGCCTCGACCTCGCTCCGCCGCACCTCGCGCTCGCCGCCTTCGCTTTCGCTTTCGCTCTGTTTCCCAGTCGTACCGGAGGTGGCTTCGCTTTCGTTCTTTTCGCCGGCGCGGTTGCCGATGACGACCACGGGCAGGAGGCGGGGGTCGGGGCACGCCGCGTGCGCCAGGAAGTCGTCGAGGTGTCGGTCCAGCGCCGGCGCGAACGTCGACGCACGTCGTTGGTCGAACACCAGCACGAGCGCGTCCACGCCCTTGAAGAACGCGCGGTCGGGCGCCCGCTGCCGCTCGTTGCCCGACGTGTCCCATATCTGAAATATGTGTGTGCGGTGCGTGCGGTGCGTGTGTGCGGTTGTGTGCGGTTGTGTGCGGTGAGTGTGTGCGGTTTTGGGTGCCATGTGTGATGGAGAACACCCGACCTGGAGCGTGCGGGGCTTGTCGCGCAGGACGACGTTCTTGTGCACGAAGTCGGCGGCGTAGGTGGGCTTATACTTGGGCATCGTGAACGCGCTGCCCCGCAGGAACCGCTGGATCAGGCTCGTCTTGCCCACTCTGCGCACACACACATGCGTGTGAGAGAGCGACACACGCGCAGTTGTGACGCCACACACACACACACACACACAACACGCAACACACAACACACAACACACAACGACGTTGTACCGTAGATCGCCGAGGACCATGAGCTTGATGTTGACCTTGTCCCGCTTGGGCGGAGTCAACGGGCGCGACGGCATTCCCAGGATTCCTGATGTCGACAAGACGGCGGCCGCTGCCGATGATCGCACTCTTGCGCCGCCGTCGCCGCTTCCCATCTCCTTCGTCGTTTTCTTCTTCCTTCTCTCTTCTTTCTTCGTTTTCTTACTCGCTTCGCTTTCGTTCTTTTTCTTGCGCCGCCGGGCTTCGCTCTTGGCCGCGCGCTCGATCGCGACCATCTCGTCGGGCGAGGGCAGCACCGCGAATAGGTCCATGCCCTCGCAGGCCACCAGCAGCACGTCGTCGCCCGCGATCGCGCGCACCGAGTGGATCGTGCTCAAACTCTGCAGCTTCAGCATCATATCGCGCACGCTGGCCACGATGCCCTCTTCGATCTCGCGGCCCATGTCGCGTGGCCTCGCGCCGCTGTCGACATCGTGATCGTCGCCGTCGCCGTCACCGTCGACACTAGCGGCGGCGGCGGTAGTCTGGCGGACGAGCTGGTCGTAGCTGGCCAGCAGGTAGGCGTGTAGCGAGTGCCAGCTGTAGCTCTCCCACTGCTGGGCCTCGTCGTCGCGGACGCCGGCGTCGACAGCGTCTCGCCGTCGACTCGATGACGATGATGAATTCCTGCGGTGTCGGGCGGTGTCGGCGCTCTGACGCTTTGACGCGGAGCCGCTGAGCCGCTTCTTCTTTTTCTCCTTTGTTCTCTTCTTTCTCTTCGCGTCCTCCACCGTTTCGTTCTTCTTCGTTTTCGTTTTCTTCTTCGTTTTCTTTGCGGCGCCGGCGCCCAGCAGCTCGCCCTCCTCGCTGAGCGACCGCCGCGGACCCCCGTCGCCGCCGTTGTCGGCAGTGCCGGGCATGGGCCACAGCCGGCGGACGAGCTCGTCGAGCGAGTCGAACTCGACGAAGAAGCGGATGTCGTTGAGCGCGCGCAGCAGATGGACGAGGCGGGTAATGGCGTCGACGTCGCCGAGGCCGAGGCCCGTGGCGGCCGGAATGCCAAGCAGCTGGCCGTACTTGCGGAGCATGGCGCCGGCCACCCGTCGCTTCTCCTCCTTCGTCGCCCTATGGCGTCGCGTTCCCTCCCCTCTTCGCTTTTCGCTTTCGCGCTCGCTTCGTCTTCGTTCTTTCTCTTCGTTTTCGTTTTCTTGTTCGGCCGACGCGGGCGCTACGGCCTCCCTGCGGAGGTTGGCCACCAGCTCCTCGACGAAGCCCAGGATCGACCGACCGATGACCGCGTCGACCACAAGTCGGGCGTCGATGCCCTCGAGCCGCGCCCGGCGCGATCGGCAGTCGGCCGGCGACTGCGAGAGGAGGAGCGACGCGTCGGCCTGCTCGATCCGGTGGTGGGCCAGCACGGCCGAGATCGCGTGGAAGAGGCACTCGTCGCGGAACAGCAGGTTGAGCAGCAGAATCTTTCTCGTGCCCGGCCCCTCGTCCACCAGCTTGCCTATATAGTGTCGCGTCACAACCACCACGTAAGCTATCACGACACGCACGACACGCACGACACGCACGGGGAACGTACTTTCGAGGTCGGTGTCGAGTTCGTCGGAGCCGACAAGGAGGAGTAGGTTCTTGATGCTGCCCGACAGCTCACCCAGCTCGAATACTGGTTCGGGGCAAGAAACAATAAATAAATGAATTAAAAATGAATGAATGAATGTATCAACACGGCCGCGCGATTGTGGTTGTGGGCGAGCCGGCCTTACCGTTGACGCCCTCTTTGACGGTGAAGGCGAACGAGACGGCGACGGTGTTGCTGCGCACGTCGGCCCACTTTCTGGCTCTTCTTCCTGTGTCACAACGCAAATGTGGTGCGGCACGGCGCTGTTGGTGGCGGTTGCATAGAACTGTATGCGACTCTGTTGAATGTACCCTCGGTGCCGGTGAGGTGCGAGACGCGGAGGGAGCACCGGGGTTGGCTCAGCCGGCCGACCTCCACGCCAAACCGGATCTTGGTCTTCTTTTTGTTGGTGGCAGCACCTGGGTATTGCGGCAACGTTGAGTTCGAAGCACGACACGATACGACACGACACGACACGCAGTAAATGGGCGCTACCTCGACTCGAGGCGGGAGGTATGAGCCAGGCTTCGAGCGCGGCAGCGACGTCGTCCACGTCCTATTGCGTGTTGTTTTTCAGATCAACACAGCGCACGACACACGGCACGACACGACACACACCGCACGCGCGCAATTTGTGTTGAGACCTACCTTGACGCCGCCAAATGGTCGGGCGCAGGCGAATGACGTGGGAGCCGGCTCGATTGGCGCCGGTGGTGCCGGCCGCGGCAATCGTGGCGGCTGGTACGACGGCGACGACGACGACGACGCCAGCGGGGACGGCGCCCGTCGCGGCGATGTCGACGGTGCGCCCGCCGGGGCGTAGGGCGACGACACGGGCGACGAGAGCGAGGGCACCGGCGAGTGACCAAACGACGACGACGACGAAGACGACGACGACACGCCGGAGGACATGGCCGATGAGAGCGACGGGTGAGTGATCTCGCCGTCGGTCGTCACCTCGCCCTCGGTGGCCGACATCGACGGTGGCGGCGGCGACGCCGCAGACGATGACGACGGGTTCGTGGTCGCGTCCGTCAACGTTCGGTCGTCGTCGCTGCTGCTGCTGACGTCCGTGTCATCGCGCCACCGCGGCGGCGGCGGTGACGGCCGTCTGTCCGCCGTTGAAGTCGATGACGACGATGGAGCGGCGGCGGCTGAGGCGCGATCGACGGCGGAGCGGTAGCGGGTCCAGCCGCCGGCGCCGATCATGCCAGCGGCCGACGAGGAGGAGCCGGGCAGCGAGGCCGCGGAGGAGGACGAGGTCGAGAGCAGCGGGCGGGAAGGTGGCGGCGCGAAGAAGGCGGTCGACGGCGGGCCGCGGCGTGGAGTCGAGGCCGAGGCCGAGGCCGCGGAAGTGGACGTGGACGAGCCGAGGGCCGACGGCGGCGCCAGGTAAGAGAAGGAAGAAGGCGGCAGTCGTACGCGCGACGAAGAAGAAGAAGATGATGATGATGATGATGATGAAGGAGCCGCGGGAGGTGGTCGATGCGGTGGACGAGATGATGAAGAAGATGAAGATGATGAAGGTGCGACGGGTGGTGGACGACGTGGCGGTTGAGATGAAGTAGAGGAGGAGGAGGAATAAGAGGAGGGATAAGCACGAGCGGGTGGTTGCAGGGATGAAGTCGATGATGACAAGGAGGAGGAGGAGGAGGAAGAGGAACGCGAGGGCACATGGGAGGGAGCGAAGTGGTCGGCATCGTCGTCATCGTCGTCGTCGAGGTTGGGAGGTGGTGGGGAGGAGGGGAGGAAGAAGCGAACGTGAGTCGACTTCTTGCTTCGTGTGCCGCCTCCCACGCCCTTGCTCTCCTTCGCCTTCAGCATGTTGTCGTATAATTGATTATATATTAAAAAGATAAAAATAATAAGATAAGAATTGCTTGAAGTGTTTGGGTGGCGAGGCAGAGGCCAAAACGTAGAGAGAGAGATTAACTGGATTGGATTGGATGGATGAAGAGAGAAGGCCTAAAATATATATAGTGGCGCAGGCGCTGGCAGACGAGCGGAGAAAGGCCGGTCTGCCATTGGTGAACAGTGCAAGGGGGTGGGAAGAGGGGGGAGGGGCGCACCTTCCTGCATGGCACTTCCCACGGCTTCAGCTCATGGCCTTTACGATCGAAACGAGGCCATGCCTGACATTCCACAGTTCTTTGTCTGCAACAAAGAAAAGCAGCAGGAAGAGAGAAGGAAAGATGGTGTGGGGTGGCCTCTGGCACCTGGTGGTATCATTCAAGTTTCAAACCTGGGATTGAGTTCGTTCCAGTGACACTGCCATGTCACTGCCAGGTGCCTGTTCACCACACAACAAGATCTTGAGTGGGCTGGGCCAGGTGTGCCTTTTCTCTCTCAAATTCTCTGCTTCCAGCCAGATCTGGAGGTGGACTGTGTTGCTTACAGGCCCTCCTGACCACCAGCAGTCACCAAGCCCAACAAAGACTGATTGCTTCCTCTTCTCTTTTTCCCTCAATTGCCTCATTCGCCCCACCCCTTTCGCTCTTTTGCCTTCGTTCTTGTTCATTCTTGTTCGTTCTTTGTTCGTTTTGTTTATTGAGTTCAAAAAGAGAGAAGAGGTCGCGAGCTTGGCTCGAGACCAGAAGGGGAGGGGGAGGAGGGTTTGTTAGTGCCTGACCTTCATCCTACCGCCCTTGCCCATCCTCGGGCCGCTACCACGTCCGCGCGCGCCGCCACCGCCTCCGCGGCCGCCGCTGCCGCCGCGTCCGCCTCGGCCACCACCTCGTCCGCCGAAGCCGCCGCCTCTGGCCCTCTTCCGGTCGCCGCCGTCGCGGAACGAGTCGAAGTCGTCGTCGCCGCCGCGGCTGACGCCCTTCGCCGCGTCCCTCTCCTCGTGCATCTCCTTGATCTTGCGCTTCCTGGAGAGGGGCAGCGACCTCTCATTCACAATCTTGCCCAGCGACTTGTTCTTCCTGTACTGTCGCAGCTCGGCGCCTGGGGGCGAAACGTGTGCAGTTAGGCGACTGAGACTCGAGAAACGACACACACGACACACACGACGCACGAGGAATGGAAGTGGTTGGTACCTCCGTCGTCGCCACCGTCAAAGTCGAGCGCGGCAATGTCGGCGTAGTCGCCGAGGTCCTTGAGCTCGTTTCGTAGGGTGGATCGCTCCCGCATGGCCTTCTTTCGGGCCTGCTTGTCCTTCTTGGTGTCCATGAGACGCGTCATGTAGTTCTCCTCGTACTCGGTCTTCTCCTTCTCCCTCTGGTCGTACTTGGTACGCGTCGTGCCGTAATCCACCTCCTCCGGCGCCGTGCCAAACTCTGTCGATTCAGAAATTAGGAATAAATATAAATGATAAAATACAAATATGATAATAATAGAGGAGGGTGAAAGAACCGTTGAGGAGGTCCTGGGCAAGCGCGCTGCTCAGGGCCTTCTTTCTTCTCCTCTCCTCCTTCGCCTTCTGCGCGAGAACTAAACATGGAAAAGGCGACACGTCAGTAGGTGATGGCAAGTGCGTGTGCGGTGATGCGTGTGCGCGCGTGCGGTGCGTACCAGAAGAGTCCTCGAACTTCTCGGCGGCCATCTTGGGCGGGCGATACTTCTGGACCTGGGACTTCTTCTTCTTTTTCTTCTTGCCGTCATCTTCCTCTTCACCCTCCTCGGCCGACGAATCCTCATCGGAATCCTCCTCCGCCTCCTCGTCCAGAGGCGACACCAGGTTGGCCGGGTTCGCTCGCGTGTTGAGCGGGTCCTTGCTGTCGCCTGCGCCATCGCACCACCGACACACTCATCAGAGCCGATCTTTCTACGAATACGGGTGGTGAAAAAGAGCGGTACCGCTGGCGATGTTGCCGATGGCGGCGGTCTTGAGCAGCTTGTCGATCTGGTACTTGAGCTTCTTCTCGATGGGCTTGATCTTTTCCAGGTAGACGCGGATCTTCACCAGCTGGTTGATAACCGGGTGGTCCTTGACCTGCTCGCCCTTGGCCTGCAATCAAAAGAAACAGGATCAGACTTCAACACATGAATAAATAAACAAATAAATAAAATAACCAAACGAACTATTAATTTTCAAAATAAATAGAAATAGAAATAGTAATAGTATTCCTGGTTCTGTGGTAGCTGCAAACGTCTAAAAACTGCGCAAAAAAAGTTGCGGGACAGGGAAAACCGCTCTAAAACAGTGAAAACCGAAATAGAGCTGGGGTAAACCGCGTTTTAGCGCGGAATACCCTGTGAAAAAATTTGTAGAAGTTTTAGCGTTTGCAGCTACCACCGAACCAGGAATAATAGTAAAAAAAGATAAAGCGGAATGGAGGGTGACCTTGAGGTAGAGGTAGTAGGCGATGTTGATGCAATAGGAGAGCATCAGCTGGTACTGGACCTCCAAGAAGCTCACGCCATTGCAGGTCTGGAACTCGCCCTTCTTGATCCTGGACGTGAACGCGCATGTCAGTACAACGTATGCGTGTAAGGTAGGCCCACGATGTGCGCGCGTGCCGTGTGCGGTACCTCTGGATGAGCGGGAACACTCTCTCGCGCATGAGGGTGATCTTGGCCCGGAAATCCTGCACGAGGCCCAGTAGCTCGGGCGCCTCGGCGGTGAGGATCTCGAGCTTCTCCTCGGTGGTGAGCGATGAAATGTCCTTCTGCACCGTCTCGAGATCGAGCCTGTGGCGATCAACAATAACACAGCAACAACACAGGGTGAGACGACGCACGCGGCCGCGGCGTGAGGTGGATGGAGCGCACTCTTTGGCCTTGGCCTCCTTGGCGGCCTTCTTGTCGGCGCTCTGCTTGAGGTCCTGCTCGGCGGGGGCAAAGTCCTCCGGGAGGAGTGCGCCTCGCATCTTCTTCTGTTGAATGAGGGCCTGCTCCAACTCATCCTTGGCTGCACAATAGAATCAGCAGGCATTAGATGATTGCAGTAAAATCGGCAGCGCTACACCCAATTCATAGATATAGGAAAATAGGAAATTAAACGGAGATGAAATTAAATCAAAGGCAAGGAAGGAGTGGCAAAGTGGAGGGAAGTACCGAGCTCCTCGTCCCAGTCCTCATCGTCGTGGAAATCACGGCTGTAAAATTGCTTCTTGCTCCGGCCCCAAGCCTTATCATCATCGAATTGGCCATCACCCTTGCCGCCCTCCGCTCCGTCATCGTCCTCCTCGTCCTCCTCGTCTTCGTCCACATCGTCATCCAGATCGGAATCCTCAAGATCCAACCCCATGATGTTCTCGTCGTCCTCCACGTCAAAGAACTTGCCATTCTCATCCGCATCGGGCTTGCCCCCGAGATCGAACTCTTCATCTTCCGAGATGTCCAGCTCCTCCCGTTCCTCTCTGGTCATCGCGGGTGCCTTCTGCTTGCTTCCTCCCTTTCGTGGCATCTTCTGGCAAACCTCTACTTTGAGATGAGTTGGGATGGACAAAAGTATGCCGGCGCAAAGAGTCCGGCAAGAAAAAGAGAAGAAGGCCGCGCCGGGAATCGAACCCCCGACCCACCCAGAAAACCATTTGTGAAAAGAAAAAGAAAAACCAGACAGAGCGGCATCATCAACGGCATCCATTTGCCTACACAGTCAGTGTAGTGACCTGCGTGGGTTGAAAGTGAAGCTTTATGGAGAGAGAAGCACAAGTTTGACGAAAATCTTTCTTTATTTTGCTGTTCGGTGCAGTCTAGTGTCTAAATCGTTCAAAATCGCTACTTACACGCTCCTCGACATCGCTCGCCCGGCTCGCCTGGTTGATGTTCCTCCCTGCTTGCTGTTGTTACTCTACACACTGGTCGCTCCGTCTAGTACTCCTGCGAGAGAGACTCGCCGGCCTTGCCACCCTTGCCCTTCGACTTGGGGATGAGAACGGAGTGGATGTTGGGGATGACACCACCGCTCGAGATCGTGACGTCCTGGAGGAGCTTGTTCAACTCCTCGTCGTTCCTGACGGCGAGCTGGATGTGGCGGGGCACGATCCTCACCCTCTTGTTGTCGCGCGAGGCATTGCCGGCCAATTCGAGAATCTCGGCCACGAGGTACTCGAGCACGGCGGCGAGGTAGACGGGGGCGCCAGCACCGACGCGGCTGGCATACCTGCCTTCCTTGAGCTGCCTGTGGATACGACCGACGGGGAACTGAAGGCCGGCCTTGAACGACCTCGAGTGGCCCTCACCGGCGGCATCCTTGCCAGCGGGGGCGGGCTTGGCCTTGGGGGCAGAGCGGGGAGCCTTCTTGGCGCCCTCCGCCTTCTTGGTGGTCTTGCCAGCATCCTTGGACGACATTTTGTTGTGGTTGGTGAAGGGGAGTAGCGTTCGAGTTGTTGGGTTTCGAGCTGAGTGATGCTTTGACCGATGGCGCCAGGAATGGTTTTATGGCCAACGGGCACCAACGGTCCAAAAGCCAACGGACCAGCCAAAGCACAAACTTGTCGCCCAATAGAAATTCATAAACTCGGAGAAAAGGATTTGTAGAAAATTGAATTCCATTGGAAGTTAGTCCTCCAATGGAGACGCCCAGAAGAACTCTGAATATCAAAAGAAAATGCATTTCTCATATGACCGTTATGAACGCTCTGCGTGAAGTAGGTGTTGGTGGGAGAAGGCCTTCGGCTGTCCCTCCTCACCCTCAAGATGGTTGAAGATGTATTTGACATGAAAACGTGAGGGATATGGCACAGCTTCAGCTCCTCTTCTCTTCTTTCGCCTCCTCCCTCGCTCTTTACGCTTTCCTTCTCGTTCCTCTGGTCTCGTTCGTTCCGTTTCCTGGCAGAGCGGCGGGCTGCGTTCGCTTCCTTTCCTCGCTAGTCGACATCGTGCACTACGACGATCATCCAGGCGATGACGAGGTAGAAGAGGAAGATGGGGTACAGCACGAGAGGTCCGCGGCCGGTCTTGTCGGTCGGCATCATCGCCAGCACGAAGCCCCATGACGCTGACAGGAAAAGAGCAGAAGCACCGAGGTAAGACAGTGATGACTGTTGTACGGCTTGCAAGCCGCTGTTGCTCGAGATGGATTGGGGGGGGGGCATACCAAACACGGACCAGCCCCAACAGATGGACACGACGATCAGTCGGAAGATGAGGTTGGGCCACCAGATGCAGATGAGGGCGGCAATGTCGAGCGGCCCGAGCGAGTAGCCGAGAGCACAGACAGTCTGGAAGAAGGAGATCTTGCCGCCCAGGAGAATCGCGTTGACGGTGATGACGCACGAACCCAGCCACACGATGACGAAGACCGTGGTGAAGATGAGGGTGCTTTGCTTGCCCGCAGCGAGGGTGAGCACGCTCGCTAGGATGAAGGAGAGGAGGAGTGGTCCCCAGAGATCCCAGTCCTTCAATCGATTCACTCGCTTGAAGGAGCCCCAGAAGGGGAACACCACATGCAGCGTCTTCAATCCAATGTCTGCAAGATCCCTGAGAATCGTCTGCCATACTGGCTCGTCGAGCGTGCTTATCGTGTCGGGTTCGTGAAATCCTCCCGCCTCAGCATCCTCGGGCTGGTTCGATACGATCCTTCCGAAGAAATCCATGTCGATTGTGGATGATGACGACGATGATGCGGGGCGACCCTCTTATCTCGCAATTTTGGAACGACGAGTTGGAAGATCTCTTTCAACCTTTTACGAGGCTTCAATGTAGTACGTCCCAGCTGGACGTTTCGCTCTTCTCTTCGTCTTAGATCTTGGCTGAATCTGCTTGTGCGGTTCTGCTTGCTGACGTGTGCCGACGCGCTTGGCATTCCAGTAGCCATTTTCCTGTGTGCTCAATATTTTCTTCAATAATTTATTTTCATTTTTTTTAACATGGCCAGAAAGACTGACTTCTTGAGTGCAAAGGCGAAGAGGAAGATCATGAGGACTGCAATCAGTTGGTTGAGCCAGCCCACCAACAGCAATACATCTTGGCTGGCCAGGCCTCTCCAGCCCCTAGGCCAACAGTGCCACCATGCCTGTGCTGGACCAGGAAGGAGATGATGCCAGCTTGGAGAGAAGCTGGGAGGAAAATGAAGGAGTGCAACATTGGCAGCAGCAGCAGGCAAGGTGGTGAGGAATTCAGTTGTGTGTGTGTAGCTTGTGTGCTGGCTCTGTGGTGGCCATTTTTCTGTTGGAATTAAGTGTGAAATTATAAGTTTAATTTCAACTTGACACCAGCGTTCTCCACATGCGCGAACTTGGTGTTTTGCCTCTGGATAGCATCTGACAAGTTCTGGGTTCAAGATGGGTAAGTGACTGGCCCCTTTCCTTTTGCGCTGGGGAGTTGGTTGGTTGTGTGGGATCTTCTTCCTTGCGCTGTTGTTGGTTTGCAAGAGCTTCAGCTTCAGTTGAACCAACTTGAAGGCAAAAAAACCAAACCACTGAGGCCAGCTCGGCCGGCCAGCTCTTGTGCCTGTTGCGTGGCCGGCCTGCTTCGGCAGAGTGGCGTGGTGGTGTTGGGTTCAAGAGGGCATGGTGAGCAGGTCGAACGGGACGCCCAGCGTGGCGAGCCACTCACGAAGCGTCGGTCCTCCGTAGGAGTGCCAGGTATCGCAGGAATAACACCACAGTTCTACACGCAGTAGCAGCATAAGAAGAGAAGAATAAGAAAGAGAGCCAGTCACACGACACACACACACACACACACACACACACAATGGTTTGCTACGCGGCTGCCGCGAGCTTGTTCGAACGGGTACCTCCGGGTTCTCTGCCGGGATTGGCCACTGTTGTTGAGAGGGAGAGGGCGTCAGCCGATGATGTGCTCCTCTGCGAGTAGAGTACCAACGAAAGGCGTACGTTGCAGGACGAGCGGGTGGTTGGTGGCCTCGTTGTGGGTCACCGCGTGGCGACTACTTGCTCGGCCGCAGCCAAGGTGGCCACAGGTGAGGCAGAGCCAGAGGTTCGTGGGCGAGCTGCACTCATTGCACGCACTGATTCCTGCACAGTACGGAATGCACGCAAAAGAAGAAGAACGAAAACGAAAGAAAGAAGAGCGTCAGCGCGCCGAGCTCATGAACCTCGCCTCACCACTCCCGACAAGGTCAGCTTGTTGTGTACGATGACTGCAGGGCGGGCAGCACTCGACCCTGTGGCCCTCCTCGCACGTCGGCTCTTTGCACAGACGGCACGTGTACATCCGACACAGGTAGCTCACCAACTCCGCGGGGAGCACATCGAGCTTCTTCGATGACTGCTCGCTCTCGCCGGGCTTCTCGCTCTTCTGGGCTTCGTTTTCGTTCTTTCGTTGGCGCACCTCGGCAGCATAGGCCGGGTCGCGCACCACGGCCTTGCCGCACAGGTGCACCAACGACCCCGGCCCGTCCACCCTGCGGCTTCCCTCCACCGCCTGCACGTGATACAATGGTCAATATGGGGGGGGGGGCATTCATGTTGGGTTGCGCACCAGATGGTAGGGTATCTGGTAGAGCTCCAGGTTGCGCATGGGGGTGCAGCCTCTGTCCTCAGAAAAGGGGCCGCCACGGAACCGTGTCCAGAGGCTTGCCATCTTCTTGTTATCAGCTCTCTGCGCGAGGCAGGCTTTGCCAGTGTTTCGGTGAAGCTCGTAACGTTTGGTGTTTCACAAGCGAAACGAAACAAAGTTGGAAACGATATATGTCGACACATTGCGGGCATTCCAAACGACTAGAAAGGGCGTTCCGCTTTTCATGAAGTGGCGCATGAGCCAATGAAGACCGGCCTGCACTCTCCGATCTCCCCGGTCGGTAATAGTGTGGTTTCCTCCTTCGCCTCTGGTACTGTTGTTTGTTTGCAGGGGTAGCCTAGTCTCACCACTTCACCTTCGAATCGTCGCCGTCATGCAACTCCGCGCAGCTGTCTTCGCGGCCATCGCCCTGTGCCTTGCGCTGCTCCTGGTCCAGACCGACGCCTGGGGCAAGGAGGGCCACCAAATCGTGGCCGACATCGCCTACAACCAGCTCAATTCGAATGCTCAGCAGGTCTGCTTTACCCCCTCTACTTTGTGTTTTTTTTTTATTTTTTCTAATTTGATATTCACTTGAATTTGATGTTTTGGATTGAGATCTCATTCTTTCACTCATTCTTCTTCTTTTTTTGCAATTTTTTGTTTCTTTTATCCCACAGGCCGTGAACTACTACCTCAATGGCATGACTCTTGCCGCCGCGGCGCCTTTCCCCGATGAGTACGATCACACCAGCAACGTACGTTGCCCGCTCCTCCAAAGTTGTCAAATCAATTCTATGCGTTCTCTGTTTTTGTTCCAGTTGCTCTCCGAGGTCTCATTTTTGTTAATTTAAGATTATACTTTTTGGATTATTATTTTCTACATTTATTTCATTTTGCTTCCTTTGCTTCTGCTTTATTTATTTATTTATTCCTTTATTCTTTCAATATTTATATTCTTTTTTCTTTTCCAATACTTTCAGGGTCGCTGGAGCGGACCGCTGCACTACGTGAACCTGCCCCGCAACGCCGTCCAGTACACCAGCGCCGACTGCCCCTTCCCCCCGGGCTGCGTCGTCAGCGCCATCCAGAACTACACCAGTACACACACAACTCCGCTTCTCGTGTGCGTGTCGTGCGTGTCGTGCGTGTCGTGTCGTGCTGTACGGTGCGCTGACGACGAGCTCACCACCGACAGAGCAACTCGCGTACGAGGGCACCTCCGGCAGCGTGTGCACCTTCAACTACGGTGACATGCCCTGCCCGCTCGTCTTCATCACCCACTTCGTCGGTGACGTCCACCAGCCCCTCCACGTACGTTGCTTTCATGTTTGTCGTCGTCGTCGTCGTCGTCGTCGTCTTCGTCTTCTTCTTCGTCGTCGTCGTCTGACGCTGTGTTGTTGTGCTGGTCGACCAGGTTGGCTATGGTGACGATGAGGGCGGCAACACCGTCAAGATCGACTTCCTCGGCAAGCGCGGCAACCTCCACCAGGTGTGGGACGAGTTCATCATCCAGAAGTGCGCACGCCTTCCCTCCCAGCGGACCCAACAACCACCTTCGAATTACCAACCGTCGTGTGTGTATCGTGTGTGTGTCGTGTTTGTGTCGTGTGTGTCGTGTGTGTCGTGTGTCGTGTCGTGCCGTTGGTTGTTCTGCGCAGGTACGACTCGGACTGGCAGGATTTCTCGAGCAAGCTCCAGACCTACATCCAGAACAACCCGAGCGTCGCCGCTCAGTATGTCCATCCCCCCCCCCCGCCACCCACCCTTCACCACCACCGGATGAAGCGCATCGTGGACGAGTGAAGATGATTGATGAAGATGACCTCGATTCAACGAAAAGAAGGAAGACGAAGAGGAGTTGATGAAGGAGGAGAATGAGGAATGAGGAATGAGGAATGAAGGGTAGTAGTGGAGGTATGGTGGTCGTTCGAAGAGCCAAGTCACGCTGTGCCGATCATGTGTTGTGTGCGCTTTTTTAATTTCCTTTTTAATTTTTAATTTTTTAATACTTCTTACCAGGTACGCCGCGATCACCGATCCCGCCAAGTGGGCCAACGAGTCCTTCCAGTACGTGAGGACCGACGTCTACAACTTCAACCCCACCAGCGGTACCACCCACCACCACCCACCACCCACCGCCGCGTAGCGCGCGTGGTCTGATGAGCTCTACGTTGCTGTTGTGTTCTGATGGATGTCGACAGATTCGCGCGTGACCGATCTGGGCGAGTCGTACTACACCCACAACCTGCCCATCATCCAGCAGAGGCTCGTCGCCGCTGGCGTGCGTCTCGGCGCCCTCCTCAACAGCATCTTCTCCTCGTCCAGGGTACCCCCCTTTCAGTGCCCCCCCCCCAACATTTCTGCCTACACGCACTCAATGACACCACACCACACACACACCACACAATACGCACACACACACACACACACACACACACCACACACACCACACACACACACAATGTAGATCGCGAAGCCCCACGTGCCCGTCGCTCCCCAGAACAAGATGATCATCCGCCAATAAGGAGCCTCACCCTCCCCCCTCTCTTCGCCCAAAGCTCTGCGGCGCAGCCGAGCCGGCAAGCAGCCCGACCCGCTGCCCCCAGCCTCGCGCTCCGCCCCAATCAATTCCCCATTTATCCCGGTTTCATTTTTGTCAAACGACGCCGACCGCAACAATGTTTGTTCCCTCCTGGGCTTGTTCACTAGAGGCCTGCGCGCGCTTTCGCGTTCGTTCTTCGTTGTCGTGTTCTTCGTTGTTGTCGGCGACGTGGGCCGGGGCCTGGGGGCAATGTCCGCCTCCGGGCGTGTCGCACGGCGGCGCGGCGAAGAAGTCGAACGGCTTGTAGCGCCAGGTCAACCGCGGGGCCTTGACCAGCGCTCGCAGCTCCTCTCGACCCTCCGCTGACAGCTCCGATTCCCTCGTCGCCGCCAGATCGCTTGGTATCTTCAACGAATAACAAAACGACGCACACGCACACGCACACGCACCACCGCACACGCACCACCGCGCACGCACCACAGCACACGCACACACGGGTGTGAGTTGGGTGGCCTGGCGACACAACAGCATCCCGACACCTTTCCCATACCTTGAACTCGTGTTCGTAGTTGAAGTGGAAGAGGGCATACTCCTGCGTGCGCTGGTCATAGCCGGCCGCCTCGTGGTTCGAGCCGTACCAGACCGTGTTGTCGTTTGCTCCTGTGACGCGACATTCTCTCGTGAGTGTCGAGTCTCCCTTTTGGTCCCCCCCAAAGGGGGGTAAAATCGGCCGCGGCCACGCACCACGTCGCTCGACGATGTAGGGGCCTGGTCGCTGGCCCGGCCTTTCCCAAGTGCCCTGCCAGAGCAGCGGTGCTTCCACCCGGGCAGGCAGCTCCCACTTTTCCGGCTACCAAGAGGGTGCTCAGAAAGACTGCTCTGACGTGGGAAAAGAGACCATTGATGATGGCGAGTGCGTACCGAGGTGGAGTGAACGAGCAACCGACCGTCGGCCCAGATAAGGGTGTGGTTGGGCACCCAGGCCGGGTCGTTGTGGCCCTCCTGGCCCCAGATCTGGACCGGCAGCATCTTGACGAAGAGGCTGCTGTTGTAGTTGGCCCAGTTGGAGAAGTTGATCTCGTCCCACGCCCATGGCGACCCCTCGGGCAGCCACTCAGCCGATGCGGTGTTATTCAAAAGCGCCAGATTGACCACATTGGGCACCCACTGCCGAGCCACCACTCACGCAGATGAGAACGTGTGTGCGGTGGTGTGTGTGTGCTGTGTGTGTGTGTGTGTGTGTGTGTGCGGGCGTGCGGGAACCTTCCAGGCCTCGAGCAGCTCGGGCCGGTTGGCAAGGATGGTGAACTGGCCGAAGAGGTAGAGCAACCCGTTGCCCCGGTTGAGGGTGACAATGTCGAACTGGCGCAGATCCTCAGCTTTGATCATGCGCCCCACGTCGCCCACAAGCGTGTCGATGTCGCCCCACGCCCAGTGCGAGTACCCCTCTGGATATGTGTGCGTCGTGTGTCGTGTGTCGTGTGTCGTGTGTCGTGTGTCGTGTGTCGTGGCGTGTGTGTGTGTTGTGTGCGTGTGTCGTGTGTCGTGTGGTATTAAAGAAATGTGTGCGGTGGAGCTCTGTATGGGTGCGTGCCAATGTAGTCGTGGAATGCAGCGCCCAGAACGGGCTTGTAGTTGCCCAGTAAACGAGCCGACGCCTTGAAGATTCTTCGCAAGTCGTTCAGCGCCTGCTCCCCTACAACTTCCTCGCCCAATCCCTGTGTGTTGTGTATGATGTGTTGTGTGGTGTGGTGTGGTTGCGTGCGTGCGGAACTGAAAGCTCTGCGGCGAGGTGGCTTCACCTGCCGGAACGTCTTCCACAGCCGTTCAGTGATCTCGCCAGGTCTGATGTTTATGTAGTGTATGTTTTCCGATTCCACTCTGCCCACCATCACCAACGACACGCAGCCCAACACAGCGCCACACGACACACACCCACACACCCACACACCCAAGCACACACACACGCATAGACACACGCACACAGACACTCCCAGACTGCGCCATCAGCACGAGTGAGAGAGAGCAGAGGTTGTTGGTCAAGTCGTACTCGGGGAGGAGCATGGTGGCGTTCTCGTAGAAGAGGAACAGCTGTAGGTGTGGCGACGAGGCGGCCACTGTGCGGAGGAACAGGCTGGCGTAGGCTGGCAGCGACGGTGCGGAGAGGTAGGGCATGATCCAGGCCACCCTCTGGCCGCCCCATGGGCCGTCGTCCGGAGGGGGTCCTGTGTGCCCAAGCGGCCCGGAAGGCACTGAAAAAAGAACGAAAAGATGATTTGACCGAGGTCTATTAAAAAGCAATATAAATAATTACAATATAAGAATGTACAGAATGAAATAGGTAGTGAGGGGTGGCACTCACCGAGTTGCTGGTAGGGCGCGCCAGCTAGATTGACCACTAACCAGACAGCCATAGCACAGAGCAGGAGGCTGGCCAAAATCTGTCCCCTGGGCGGCATAGAGCCGCGAAGTTGGTGGTTCTCTCCTTCTCCCGCCACCGGTGGCGGAAGTTGAGCTTTTCGAATTCGGCCACCACGGTCAGGCTTGGTACGTGTTCGCCCAAATCGGCAGCGTCACTCCCCTTTTGTGGGCCTGAACGGCACCTAACCGAGCTTGCTTGATCATTCTGGCCAGCGAAGCCCTTTCCTTTTTCGTGACCGCAACGGTTCAAATGGCATTTTAGGAATTCCAGAAAGGCGTGCGCTAACATTCCACGACACGAGAAAGAAGGGCAACAGGGGACGGGTCGCTTGAGGGCCCTCAGGCGCCGTAGGACTCCTCCTTGGACTTGTAGGGGTTTCCGCTGTTGGGCGACGACGAGTCGCTCAGGTCGTCCGACGTCTGCCGACTGAACTCGTCCTCCTCAATGCCCAGCGACGTGTCGCGCTGTACACTCATCACATTTAGCACACACTCATCGCACACACCGCACACACCGCACACACACACGCACACGCAGACACACACATACCGAATGGTGGGGGTGGGTGGAGACGTACGTGGTGGGCCTGCATGTCCTCCATCTCCATGTTGACGTCATCGCCGGTCTCGCCCTCCTCGCCGGGCACGTTGCTGACCAGCTCCTCGTAGGCGTAGCGGCCGTTGTTGGGGTTGGGACGCCAGATGAGGGCGATCGCCAGCAGGATGACGTAGTTCAGGAACTGCGCGTGCGTCGCACCATCACAACGTTTTAGTCCAACTGTGTCGTGTGCGTGTGTGTCGTGTGTGTTGTGTCATGTGTGATGGTGTGTACATACCATCCAGTAGGAGTCCCAGACCCACCAGATCTTCCACAAGCCGTCGGCGAAGAAGCCCAACACCACACTGCAGAGGGGGCGCCCAGGTGGTGAGCAGGTGCGTTGCATGGTAGTGGGGGCGGGGCAGGGGCCGGCGTACAATTCGAGGGTGATCATGCTGAGCGAAAAGAAGAACGCGGCGATCAACACCAACGCCAGCTTGCGGTACCTGCACACACACGCACGACGGCACGACCGCACACGCCCATCTTCAGTTTTTGCCTGGGTGCCGCTGCCGCCACCTTAAACACCAACGCCGGCACAACGTGGGGTGGAGGGCGCACAGGGAGAGCTTGGCCGGCTGGCCGCTCTGGCCGAGCAGGGAGATCATGCGGAAGAGCGCGGTGAAGACCCACATGTAGTAGACGGCGTCGAGCAGGAACACCGGCATCAGCGTGAACACCGTCACGACGGGGCTGATCGGCAGCGACGTCTTGTCCTGCAAGGGCTGGCGTGAGCTGCGCTGTATCGCTGACCGTGTCGCGTAGTGTGTGTGCGCGCGTGTGCGGTGTGTGTGCGGTGTGTGTGTGCCATGTGTGCGGTGGCGCGTGTAGTACCTGCAGAGCATCGGCGCTTTCGGAGACCTCGGCGAAGAGGTAGAAGAGAACGCCGTAGATGGCCAGGCTGAGCGAGGCGCCCCAGTGCAGCTTCTTCTTCACCACGCCGTAGCCCATGCTGCATGCAACGTGTGTTGTGTGCGTGTCGTGTGAGACCAACGTGAAGGAATTTTTGCTTCTTCGGAAAAGTGACGCACCAGACGGCCAGCAGGAGAAGGCGGGCAAACGTCTGCTTGAGGGTGGTAGCCGCCACGGCGATGACCGTCAGCGGCACAGCTGGAGTCGTCGAGTCAAGGGCCATCACACGCTCAAGCGGTCATGCGCGCGTACGTCCGTATGTGTGTGTGTGTGTGTGTGTGTGTGTGTGTGTCGCGTGTGGTGTGGTGTGTCGTGTGTCGTGTGTGTGTGTCATGTGTGTGTGTGTGTGTGTGTGTTGGCGGTGGTGCGTGCGACGTGGACGTGTGCGGCGTGTGCGTCGGGGAGACAGGGCGAAAAAGGATACAGACGGTGCCCTCGTCGTTGTATCGGTAGAAGTCGAACCACATCAGGAGTTGCTCCACAATGCCAAAGGCGATCAGGGCCGTGAGGCAGTGCTGTTTGCGGAACCAAAAGCACACGGCGAGTGAGTTGGCGCCACCAGCCAGACCGCACGCACGCACGCACTCACGAACGCACACGCACACGCACACGACCGCACCACACGCGCACGCGGAAAAGCAAAGGGCTAGAGAGAGAACCTGGAGGCCGAGGAGCCCATCGCGGAAGCGGTAGAGGAGGAAGCCCCAGGCGACGGTGGTGACCAGGTACACGATCGCCATCACCATGTAAAACTGGTGACAAGAGAAGAAAAGGAAGAAAAAGTCGTGAGTGTCGCAACTACGAAAGCGAGAGAGAGAGAGAGAGAGAGAGAGAGCGAGCGAGAGAGAGAGAGAGAGAGAGAAGCGAGAGAACGAGCGAGTACCGGAAGGAAGCCGAGCTCGTCGCCGTTGAGGTAGCCGTAGGGGTTCATCCACTTGGTCTCGCCCAGCACCGTCACCGTGTTCTACATTTGTATAATAAATAAAATAAAATAAAATAAAATAAAATAATACATAAATGTCTTGGGCTGATGCGGGCGTGGAAGCGGTTTGGGTTTAGCGGGGTGGCGTGGCGTACCGCGCCGCTGCCCATGCAGTTGACGAGGATGAAGTAGTAGAGATCCGTCTCGTTGATCGGGAAAACCTGCGCCATCGCGATCCCACATTGCATCAGCGCACACTTACCTCACGTGTGCGTGTGCGGTGGTGCGTGTGCGGTGGTGCGTGTGCGTGTGCGTGTGCGTGTGCGTGTGCGTGTGCGGTGTGGTACATGGCTGTAGGTGACGGTGGAGGTGAGGAAGTTGAGCTTGGAGTAGTGGAAGGTGGGGGACGAGTGGTTGTAGTAGTCCCGGTTGAGCGCCACCTCGCCGTACGGGCACGGGTGGGCCGGCGGGCGGTGCATGCCGTGGTCGCAGCACAGGTAGCGCTGCGCGCGCGCGACACACGCAACCAAACCGCGCGGTCGGTTAGCGTGCTATGAGCCCAACCGGGCTGGGCGCCCAGCAGCTCACAAGGTGTGTGTTCGTGGGCATTGAGGGGGGGGTAGGTACGCCGTAGGCGGGGCCATCGTAGCCGACGTTCTCGAGTTCGCTGATGGAGAAGAAGAGCGCTTCGACGTGGCCGCCCCGGTTGTGCTTGCTCAGCGTCACTGTCCAATAATATTTAAAATCAAATAATTTGTTTAATAATTAAAAATATTTCATGTGGGTGAGATGATAAACATTCGATTCGTCGTCTTTGATTATGATATTAGTAAAAAATAAATTCAAATGGTTGGTCTTTTCGGATAAATAATGAATGAATTAATTGATGAGGTGGAACTAATTGGTAATCGTTGGGGTGGGGCGTACGTTCAAACTTGGCGTAGGGCTCGTTGGATCCAATGGGACTGTCCTTGACGGACCACATCGCCACTCGCTCCAGGATTCGTGAATTGGAATTGAGTCCATCATTGTAATCGAAGATGCCTGCCTGCACCTCCACGGCACCCAGCAGCAGGACGCTGCACACCACCGCCACGATCGCCACCAGCCCAGCAAAGCTTTGCCGCGTCTGCAGCCCACCACGCCCCATCCGCGTCTCCATCTTTTTGCTGCTTTCTTGCTTTTCTTCTTCTCCTCTTGTTTTTCGTGACCTGCTCCACACTGTGCCCGCAGCGAAAACTGACGTAGTCGTCAGGCCCGCACATGGCACACACATGGCACACATGGCACACACATGGCACACACATGGCACACACATGGAACATCACAGGCCAAACACTGTGCTATTGAATGAACTCGCGGACGGTGACGGGGTGGCGCAGGTGTTCGGGCGGGTCGGGCACCAGCGGGCTG